AGCAGGAGGAGCATGTTGGACGTGGACGACGACAACAAGTCGACTATAAGCAGCGTCAGTCGGTCCAGCCCTCGATCTCTGCAACGTAGCACTTCTTGGAAAGAAGAGAGACAGTGTAGCTCGCGCTTGTCTCTCGCCCGCAGTGGTGGTCTCAGTGAATTTGGGCTGCATTTACGCGACGACGATGACGATGAAGCAAAGAGTGTAGCTTTCAGCGAAGCGGGACAATCGTCTTTCAGTCCCCGCTCATTGAGTCGCAGCTGCTCGTCCTCGGCTCAACAACGATCCTTGGATGGAAATAACTCCGAATTATCTGAAATCAAAACAACCCCCCACCGCAACTACTTAGATCCCGACTTGGAGGCGGCAATCAATGAAGTGCTGAGCTTTAAACCAATTAAGTTCAAGCGCAGTAAACTCGATGACTCCAGTGACGAGGAAGAGGATGAGGAGAAGACGCCGATAAGGGAGGACAGTAGAAGGAGGGGGGAAGACGAGGAGCTCGGATGTGGTTCATCGAGCCTGCTGCGCTCAACATCAGGCTCCGTTCTGGACTACAGCCAGCGGACATCCAGTAGCATGAGCAGCAGGAGCTCCCGAAGTGGTAAAGATAAGAAAAGTAAAAAGTCGTCCTCGGGCGACGACTCCTCAGACGACCGTCAGAGCAAAAGCAGCTCAAGACGGAAGAAAGGGAAGAAGTCCAAGAAGAGATCGAAAAAGAAGTCGAGCGAGTCCGAGGATTCCTCCTCCTCCACCGAGTCGTCAACATCCTCCTCTGCAGAATCCAACGTTTCGTACCGCAGCTCAAGCAGCATTAAACGGGCACCAAAGTATCAAGTTGAGGATGATGATGATGAAGAGCTTGCAGGTCACGCAACCACCACAAAGAAGGACTCCAAGAAGAAGCAGAAGAATATGGACAGCTTAGTGATGAAGTATCTCTACAAGCCCGACAGTGATTAAGGTCAACTGTGCTATGAAGTTACATTTAATGCATGCATTATTGCACTGCAATTTTCGTTTCAGACTCGGTTGTGTCAGTTTCCCACTTTTGTAAAACCTATAAATGTTTATCGAGAATGTTTTTGTTTGCTAATAGCGAGTGATTTTTTTTGGATTTCTTGCACATAAAATATTGCAAAAATATGTGGTGTTGTTTCGATTGCATGAACATATGGTGTATGACAAACGGTATTGGACACTGGTAAATTAAAGCTCCTTCAAACATCATAGTGTATGAATATTTAACTTTATATACATATAAAGTGATGTCTATTGCTATTATGTGCTAATCTGTATTAATTTAAAATAAAAAAAGATGTCCGATATTAACTTTTTTGTCGATATGCCGATATTCTGTCCGATATTAACTTTTTTGTCGATATTGTCGATATGCCAATATTGTCCAGACACATAATTTCCGATTCTGATACCGATTTAGCGGAGCAGTGGTGGAAGTTAAGTGTTGCCTGCTCACTAAGGTGATGGGTTAGAGTGTTTCGCAATTATTTTCTGCCCCCTAGGGGACAATTTAAGATACTACTGAGCGCCTGGTAATATTTATTTGTTTATCTGTACAAACCACTAAGAGTTCCTGGCACCAGCATTCTGTAATCCCGTGATTTTTAAAATAGATTAATAACATAAGCTACAATGCTGCCATCTAGTGACTAGTTTATCGTTCCATGTTCTGTGTTCATGTTATGATTGATGCCATCTAGTGACTAGTTTATCGTTCCTAATGTTCTGTGTTCATGTTACTTATTTTTAGAGCACACATCATTTGGCGAAACCCGGGCGTTATCGGGTTTTCATTATCGGAGGAAAACCAATAACGATTCTTACAGATATTACAAAAGATGCTAATCGGACATCCCTAAAAATAAATATTAACTTGACGAGTGATGTCATAGGTCTAGGTTTAGCTGTGATTAACAGTTCGTAAAATAGACTTTAAAGCACTCCCGCCTATCAGCAATCATCTTCTGTTTACACCGCACTGATCCTCAGTGTTAATCTCCAAATGCCAATGTCTTTGTTGACTTCTTTCTGTTGGCTATTAAACTGGCCAGACATTCTGGACTCAACATCAGCTGTTGTCCGTATCATTTATTCACCTTTACCCTTTGCATTTTCTGACTGTAAAATATAGGAATCAGCCACATTTTTGCAATTATTCATAGTTGACATTCACATTGCAGCGCACCAATAACAACTGTTAATGTGGTTGGTGGAGTGGACGGCTTTCATTCTACTGCAGAGTGCTAAACAGCACAAACACACAGCAAAATAAAAATCATTTAAAAATGACGGTGGACATTAACATGTCAATGTAAATATGTCAGAATTAGCCAAAAGTCCACGTTGCATCCATATTCCCCAGCCGTAGGACACAAACAACAAATAAGGAAAACAACACAGCTAATAACTGCAGAACGAAGGGGCAGTTCACAACACAAATGTCTCAAGACAAATGCATATCAAAAGAAACATTAGATGAACACATGATACTATAAGGCCTCCTTACACATATTTGACATGTTTTTATCCAATCATATTTCAGCCTCATATGTTGCCAGGGTGAAAGAAATCTCCCCTAAAGCCTTCAAAATCTGTAGTGTGGTCATGTGGGCTCTTAAATTAATATAGAAAGAAATTGTCTCTTTAACCAATCAGATTTTGAGTCAGTGGCACCAAGATCATCAAGCAGGCTCACAGTTAAGTTGGCCAATTGAGTGATCTGATTGGATGGTCAAAGAACGCACTTTAATCTAGTAAAGTATCCGGCGACTTGCACATGCGAAAATAAAGTTTTCTCCGCCTCAACCGCTTCTGTCGTAAAGCAAAATTTATTAAATAAATATGACAAGTTAGACTGGACTTTTAGCATTAGAAGCGAATAGTAAAGGAGTTGATGTTAGAAATGGATCTCATGGATAATGTGTACAGAGTAACTGAACTAGACTGGACTTTTAGCATTAGAAGCGATGGGAATAGTAAAGGAGTTGTCTGAAGGAAAAGGGGGGTTGTACAAATAATCAGAGGTTTTGGTGGGTGAATTTTGTCTTTTTAACATGATTATTAGAAATGGGCAGGGGTTAAAAATTCATAATCATGTTTAATCACATGACTTGCTTGCAGATGCTGATAATAATGCGATTACTAGTGTTTAATTGCATTATTATCAGCATCTGCCATACAGCGTCTGTAGCAGTTAAATAAAATATTTAGTCTAAATCTCAGCTTAAACAATGAAATCAAAGCAAATGCAACTAAATTATCTTACTGCCAATGCCAGGGGATTCATGTCATCATGTCTGTTCTATAAAAACAAGAATGGCCACAAAATCCTGAGGCACAAGGTAGCAGCAGAAACATGTTTCTTTTATCAGGGAGCAGCATAACCAGTCTATGTTGAGCACTAAAAGTGAGGTGAACCACAACAAAAGTTCACAGCTGGGATTTGCTTTGCAGGAGACTAGTCTGAAAAGTCCATGATTTTATTGGATTTCACCCGTGTTTACCACACCATCCTTGGGTTACTGCACGGTAAGAAATCTACAATTCCAAATTTTAGATCTAGACAAGTGGCAATGAGATGTTGTGAGACAAGGACTGTAGCACTGTATAAGTAAATATGCACATGCATAGGATTAAAAAAAAAACCTAAAAAACAATGCACACAAGAAAAGACAAAAAACAGTATGTAAAAAATACAATCATAATAATATAATAATATATAGAATCATCCAAAAATGCACCGATGAAAATTTGTAGGAAATCAAAACAGGGTTGTGGTCATTGAAGGAAATAGTTCATAAATAAAATTTGTAGGAAATCAAAACAGGGTTATGATTGAAGGAAATAGTCCATAAAGGTTCCTTTAAAAAAAGGTTTTGAATTATGATTAAATATAACACCCAAACATTCAAAAACCATTTCTCTGATATATAAATATCTCTTTTAATCAGGTCTGAGTTCAACTTTACGGTACGGGAGGAGGCGATCGTTCCCTGAGCTGACGCTAGGAGCTCTCCGTGGTGCTGAGCACTCGCTCCCTCATTCTAGTCATGCTGTCACGAGTCTGACTCCCGGATGGTTTAGGAGGCAGATGCGCGTTCCCACGTTTATGTGATTATTGTCGGCTTTCGCACGCTTGATATTTTAAAGTGACGACGTCTTCGTGCAACACGATTTATAGACGCTCGAAACCCCGTTTTCCCCCATTTTATTCCCTGCTTTTTTTGTTTGTTAGTGAAGCTCTTGAAGAATTGTTATCAAAATTGAATACACACGGACCTACAACATACAGTCGTGGGGAATTTGATTTAACTTTTGCAGCGATGCATGTGGAGCAATCGAGGACACTCCTCACGGTGTTTGTGGTCGCTGCTGTCGTGGCCAGAATACAGGGGCAAGGTAAGAACTTCGGGCTCAAACATGAGCATGAAAGGAGAATGTTGTGTTTTTCTTCACGTCTAACTACAAAGAAAGCAATTGTTGAGTTGAGATGCGTGGTTCGTTGACTCTTTTAGATTAGAAAATGATTTTCTTAAACCATACACAGATAGTCGGCACTTTATCACGTTAAACTCCTGTTTATTATTTATTTGCCCGGAAAATAAGTCTGTGAGAACGTCGTTGGAACGCAAACAAAACCAACGAGTGAGTTCACAGACGGCATACATAAACATAGAGTAAACATTTCGTGTAAACTTTATTTATTTATACATCATTTTCTTCATACATAAAAGACTGTGAAAACGCTCCGAAAGACGTGTTCAGGCACCGAGGTCGGTGTGACAGACGGCGCTTCGTAATAAGACGCTAATCCTGAGAAATTGCTAAAGATTAACTGTCCAAGCTGTTTGACACAGTTGAGCGCTAGTGGAAAGCTGTCGTGAGTTCAAGCTCAATGTCTTTGTCCAAATTAAATGTTTGTTCTGCATCTGGCTTCTTCTCGGTGTTACATCGATGCTTCCTGTCGGTTTTACATTTACTGTCGAATAACGGACACTAAATCTCTGTTACTGAGACGCACGACACATGTCGGAAGTAAAGAACAACACGTCTATTATTTAAATTATTGCTTTTAAAAACTATTTCTGTGACAGGGTACAACACTGACATTTGTTGACTAAGTTAATTATCATATAAGTATCATATAAATGTGTTCTCTGATACTGTACTGATACTGTGTAATGTTTAGAAAAGTATTGCATAGGGTATTGGTATTTTTTGGTATAGTCTGTCACTACTTTACAAAATTTCGTTTTAGGATAAAATATGTAGCGTAAAATTGAAGTAAATTACATCGATCATTAACGTTTCTGGTACTATATTGTACCACCTGAGAAAACATTGAGCTCTCTGAGTACCACCACGATGACCAATATTAGAATACAGCAGCATAGGCCTTATTATCCTGTTAGCTTCCTATTTCATAATCTCACAAGTAGCTACACATCTTTCGAAATGTTGTAATTATTGTGCATTGTATGTTACAGATTTATTCAATTGAAAATGTAAATGTGAAAATATAAATCTTTCCCGCATACCACTAGAGAGCGTACCACAATTTGAGAACCACCATTGTAGATCGTTGTTTCCCAAAGACTGGGTCGCGACCCTCAGGTGGGTCGCAAGAGATTTTGTTTTGGGTCGTCTCGCATCATGTTTCCCAGGAGTTTACGAATAACATGAAGTGTTTGTGTAATTTTTTTTTATTTCCAAAATGTAATAAAGCGGGCCAGATAAAACGACCTAGCGGCCCAGTTGTGGCCCACGGTCCGCATGTTTGACACCTCCGTACCACACACCCACGGGCCGCATGTTTGACACCTCTGTACCAGACTTTTAATAGCCATCATCTGTTTTTTTTGTCTCACACAGTTCACATAGGTTTATAATTTGTAATTATTACTCGTTGTTCAGCTGACTATTCTTAAAAAGTACAATTTGTTATTTCATCATAAAAAAAAATCCAACACTAGGGGGGGTCGGCACCAGAGTGCCTTTTAAGGGCTTGACACCTGCCTGTCTGTCTTAGCCCCACTTTGTCCCTGTCTGGATCTTTTTCTGCCACTGAAGAGGGGGTTAAAGCATTCATTTTCAACTCTTCATGTGCAAATGCCTCGCTCACTGCAAGGATGCTCAATGCATCCTAATTAAAAAGACGTCCCTGATAGCTTTAGTTGGGAGACGCCTAATGTCCCTGTGGGCATCATAGAAGATTTGACCTATATATATATATATACTGTACATATATATATCTATACACATATATATGCATATATATATATAGTATTGTTAACTAATAAATAAATAGAACTTTAAGATAAAGAAGCATTTAGCATCTTTGTAGCATTGCCTAGAAATCCAATTATAAAATTTACATTTAAAAAAGTTCAAATCAGAAGTCACTAAAATTGTAAAGTCACCTTCCAAATTTTCTTTTTTTTAACCTTTTTAAGGTTAAATGTCACTATCCTATTTTTTCTGATTTGTCCCTGGCCCGCACCCCATCAATTAGAGCTATAAAAAGAATGAAAAACAATTATCCAGGTAGGACGTCCTTTCTATACTTCTTTGCTGTGTTGGGTTGTGTACTGGCCTTCTTCATCAGCAGTGGCATGTGCTGCAGCCTAAGTGAAGAGTGCTCAGTGACACGATTAGACCCAGGGACAGCTCCAGCTCTCTTCTCTCCCTCCATCCATGCCAGGTTTTATCTAGAAAGCATTACATATGTGAAGGTGAAATGGCAAATTGTTGGGTTGGAGGATGCGGTGTGGAAAGAAGCAGGTAATAGGCTGTGTAATATGTTAGTATGAGTTGGGAAGGCTGTGTGGTCGTTTTAGTATTCACAGTTAGTGCGGGCCCTTCTGGCAGGCTGAGACAGCCCTGCAGGAATTGCCTTTGAAAAGATATAACTAAAGGAATCAGGACGAGTGATTGTACATTATTAGCAGTGAAGGATAACAACGTTGTGGCAATATCAATGTAGAAAGCCTTTCAAAATGTATGGCCAAGGTACTCAAAAATAGTATAAATGGAAGTCATTGTTTTTAATGTTACAGACCAAGTGATTCAAATTCATTTATAAACAGATTAATTACGGCAAAGATTCTCAAAGTGTGGACTGGCACAGCAAAGGTGGGCGAACAGCCACTAGGGGGTGCACAAGATTAAAAAAATTGATTTTTCCATACAACAAAGATGTGTAAATAAACATTTCCTTTGTAATATATTAAATAAAAAACAGATATTTTAAAATATATATATACATATATATGTATATATCTATATATATATATATATATAGATATAGATATGTATATATATATATGATTTCCTCTCTGGCTAAGAGAATAGCTATCACCAATCAATGTAAAAGAATGGTTGGGGCTTTTAAAAAAAAAGGCAAATAAATGTGGCTTTAAGTGTGGGGCAGCATGGTTCCTCAACAGAGTTTTCATCCTTCAATCACTCCCCTCAATTCAGGTTTCCTCATTGATTCCAAAAATGAAAAACCTCCTGGCGAGTGGCCCTTGTGTAATTCCTTTCGGCTGTTATTGCTATTTTTTTTTCTCTTCTCGTCTAAATCTCTTTCTTCTTTTTGACTTCTACATCCTTGTGAATCCCTGACAAATACAAAAACCGACCACTTCTTTTGTATAGGTTTATGGTAGCAGCCACGTCTAGTAATGAATTTCCCCGAGTGCTGATCATTTCAAAGTCAGCATACAAAGACAATTCTATGGAGCATTTTAAAATTGTGGTCACCTTACAGTCACCTTCCGAGTCCTTCTATCCCATGCTGTGAAGAAGCAATTGATTTGCTGCCTCAAAGATGCTGATTTAGCTGGGTTTATCATACCTTAATACAATCTGTCGCTGAAGGGCAGATGGGAGGACAGCTGCATTAGAAGGATCAGTGATAAACAGTTCATATAAAGCTAGACATACAATCGCTTAGAGTTGGTTGCATTTAAGTGCACTTCAGAAATGAATATATATATTATATATTTGACAATGTATTATATGGACATCTTTAGAGAGAACTGCCTGAGAGCCATTGTATAGAGTTTTCTGACTCTTCATGGACTGAGTGCTTCCTCCCTCAGTCCATGAAGATACAATTTGGGGATTAGGTTAATTGTTCACCCTGAATTGACCACAAGTATGAGTGTGAGTTTGACTGGTTGTGTGTCTCTACACTCTGTGTGGTGCTGTGATAAACTGATGAACTGTCCAATGGTGTAGCTCACAGGATGACTGCCAGGATTAGCCGGGATTAGCAATCCCCCCCGTGACCCTTAAAGCTGAATTAAGCAGTAGAGAATAGATGGAAAAAATAAAAATAATGGATAAATAAAATTGATTTTTTCATTTACTTAGATCTAAATCTATACATTTTAATACACATAACACAGCAGTTTTTTTTAGCATGTACAAAGTTACATTTCTCAATAACAAATGGAATATACTGTAAGTTTTTAACGACCACTGTTTTGCCTTTCATCATCATGAAATATATACACTTATGGCGTTACCTCAACAATGTATTTCAGCTTCAAGGCATGGACAGCATGTCAAGCATAACACGCAGTGCAACCAGGAAGAGTAAGTAAACAGGAAATGAACCGACACAGCAGGAAGTGGGTTCATGGACAAAAGTGACCTTCAAATTAAAACCTTCTCAAACTGTTTTACTCCTCTGGGAAGTGGGTTCATGGACAAAAGTGACCAATTTAAAATTAAAATCTTCTCAAACTGTTTTACTCCTCTACTGCTATATATGACTCAACAACAATGGCTGAAACACAATGACTGAATTAACAGATAGTAAAAATTCAGATTTAAGGAAATTGTTTTTAATATGAAACACTGAAGTCACCCACAATGCGGAGTTGCGATATAGTAGGATGTTTAAGAAATGCACCTCTACAACAACCAGTAACTATAAGACCTGTGTTTGTATAATGGCTTCTATAGCATTTGAACATCACAGCTATGGTTAAGAATGACAGGCTTTGCCAACATTTGTAAACCTCAGATGTGTAGGATCTTCAAGTTTGGCTCTCAGCCCAGCTAATTTGTCCCAAAGGGGAGCAGCAGAATCGATCTATATACCTCATCTTAATTGCAGCACTATAATTAGGGTGTTCTACAGACGGCTCAAGACTGTGGTCAACATTTTCACATGTGCAAGTTGGTAACAAGAGGACTCACAAATGGCCCGGCATCTGTCGAAATCAGACTTGATGACTGAAGTAAATCAATCTGTTGCCCCCGACAACGACTGTCATCATCCCCTGCAGCACTGCTGCAATAGCAGCTTTGTCTTTCTAAACATACCTTCAGTGTTAGTCAGTAAAAAAAAAAGTTCAGAGAAAAAATAAGGTAAAAAAAGGGCAGATTTGTGTGTGGTCTAAAGACTTATTTGGACAAAATCACAATAATATTGAAGAGAATGAAAACTTGTATTTTAAACTGTGGTTATGTGCTCTATGTAAAAGGCGTGTCTGTACTCTGCGGGGGCTTGTATATAGTTGGATATATTTTTAGTCCTGGCAACAACCAAAAATACCAACAGCTCAGTTCAGATACAAAGTCTGTCCAGGTAGTAAAAATAGAAACTATTTTTGTTCCATCTGACTGATGCTTGATCAGAGAAAGGGTAAAAAAAGATTCTGGAAAATGTGAAAATGTGTGTGTACATATGTTTGAATTTGGGTGTGTGTGTGTGTGTGTGTGCTGGGATCAGGTAGTTCGTTGTGTGTGTGTGTGTGCTGGGCTCGGGTATTTCGCCTGCTTTGGCCAGACAAGGTCATCATAACATACTTGGATGGGGTAGCTGAGATTACGCCATCACATTTCTTTTATCTTGCGCACCCCTTAGTGGCAGTTCGCACATTGGCAGTTTTTATGTTATAACATTTAATGTTAAATAGTGAAATTTATAATATATATTTCAGTACTCTTTCCACCTCCGCAGAAAAGTATTTCTTTCTGCACCAGAATGTACAGAACTGTGATATCAATATCCAGGAGCAGATTATGTTTCATTTTGTTGATAAAGCTCTAGAGGTCATTTAAGGAACTATTTAAGGTGGCTACTTTTTTTTTTTTAAATTCTAAAAATTTCAAAATTCTATTTTGCAGTTACACCAGCATTAAACAGCTAGCGCAGGTACAAACATGTTCTGCTAAATTTCAGATATGATGTTGTTTTAATTACAGGCACTATAGCCATGTGTGTCTATTCTTAGCTGGACAGACAGCCCTCCAGAGAGGCTTTGTTCCCCCATTTTGATCGCACAGGAATCCTGGCTCTTTTTCTTCCTCCATTAATGAGCTGTATCCTCGTCATCTATCACAGCAGATAACAGCAAGACTCCCTGTAGACAAGCAAGCGGTCCAACAAACTAACGTCTCAAAAATGTAGCGGTTTAGGCACAGCATTAGTTAAGAGTAGTCGTGATAAAAGCTTGTTTTTTTAAACCCTTGTTTCCCCAGTAGAGGACTGTTTTAGAGCAGTGGTTCTCAAACTTTTTATACTCTGTACCACCTGAGAAAACATTGTCTATAAATGTTTATAAAGTTGTTTATGTTTAATTGTTGTATTAATTGTGCATGGTATGTTTTAGTTTATTTAATTGAAAATGTAAATGTAAAAATATGAATTTTCCCCACGCACCACAGTTTGAGAACCACTGTTCTACCACACATAAAGTAAGGGTTCCAAGCAAAGTCACAGGTTTAACCCAAAGTCTTAATCCAGGGGCGCCAAACATACGGCCCATGGGCCAAACCCGGACAGCTAGGGGGTTCAATCCAGCCCGATTTGAAAGTAAAAAAATATGCACAAACACTTCATCTTCCTTCATGAAGTATTTGTGATGATTCAGGACCATCGCTTAAAACGGAACTGAAATTTTTTGTAGATAAACATATGGAAATTGCAGGGTGTGAAATTGACTACAGACTGTGAAATTAAGGCCAAAATACAAAGACAGGCTGTTCCTGAGACAGCTCTTAATATTCTACTCCAGCAGGTCTTTGGGGGGGGGAGACAACATCGCAGTACACGATATGAGATGGGAGCTCAAACCTTGTGTGTGTTTAATTTATTTGATCATCAAGAACTCTCTCTCGCTCAACAGTCTCAGTCCACAGCCTCTCATCAATTCCTGTTCGATTAGTCAGTGTTGTAGGCATTACTGAGGCCTCCCCTGCCAAAATTTCCAACTAACCTTGACCCAAAAAAAAACTCATCTGAATTAGATAGCGTGTGGGATCAGGGTAGCAGTGGGAAAGGGTAGTAGCCTACTACAAGGTTTCAAATTAGTACATCCTGTGTGTCTCTGTGAGTATTCCTAGAGGTTCATCATGTGATCAGGTAGAAGATAAATTGCTGACTTGTAAACCCTTAGGGAAAGTAGGATGTTTTGGGTCCTTCAAAGTGAGTATTCTAAAAAATGTAAACCCTTAGGGAAAGTAGGATGTTATGGGTCCTTCAGAGTGAGTATTCTAATAAAAAAAAGGGCTTCCTTTTCCCCTTACTCAGACACACAGCCAAATTGATTTTTTAATGCGGAAGATTTGGGTTTTTACCCACAGCTTTCTGGTTGATTCCCTCATGAAATAAATGAAGAGAAAATAAAAATACAAGTTAAACAATTACTATGATTGTGTTTATAATAAATTTGAATATAAAAAAAAATTGATCAACACACAATGGTCACCAATTTGTTTAGAGGTGACCCAGTTACGCTTGGATGCTTTGTAGCATAGCATACCAGGCAAATGGTGTTTTCTTCCTTTTGTGAAAATTCTGTTGAAAGGTCAGGCCTTCCCACACCAATTATAAGAGGATTTGTTTAAAGACATACAAAAGGACACTGCAGTGAAGAGAAACACAAACAAGAGTAAAATAAAAATTGGTTCTGCTCAGGGAAATCAAAAGTATTGCATAAAAAATAAATTGTAACCATATGAAATACTTTAGTTGACTTCTTGCTATTCTTTGTATTTTAATAGAGGCTGTTAAAACTAATTATTCAATTTGATTAATAATTCATATCCTAACTACGTGTACCTCGCTGCTATCTCTTAGCATCATTCTACGCAACACTGTTAATGTCATTAATGACAGTTCAATGTTGTGAGGTTAATCATGTGGCAGTAGTCGCAGTAGTATGCGTAACTTGTATTTATGACTTTGTGGGATTGTCTTTTTATAAACAGAAAAGACTTAGTTATTGCTACCAAACCATAGTCATTTTAACAACGTCATCGTCCCTCCTCTGTTCTCTGTTCTCACCCAGATGGCAGCCTCTTCAAACGATCGCCGACACAGGACACAGAGAGCGAAAGTCACCAAGTAACTCTTGCGTCACCGGTAAACACACCAAACCATCAACCTGCCTCAAAGGCACACGGGCCTCAGGAGCACCAACTTGCTAAGGACTTCCAGAGCGACCAACAATTTTCAGCTCCCAATCTAATCAAGGCCCTGGACGCAGGAGACCCTGCAACTGAACTGGTACCCCACGAGGATGCACCAGCTTTTTCAGAGATTGTCTCTTCCGCCACTGTGGCCGCCACGTCTCCACTGAACATCTTGTTAACTGCAACGTCGAGATCACCTCAAATGAAGGTCTTCAAGATGAGCCGGGAAAAAGACATGACAAAGTCATCAACCGATTTGGGCGGTGACCAAATCCCAGTGACTTCTCCGCCCTCACAGAACAGTTGGTCACTTGGATATTTATCAGAGAGCGTTAATAAAGAGCACGACGAGGAACCACGGCTGTCACCGATGACCACCTCTGACTATTTACTTCACAAGCCAACCACGAAGTCACAAGTGGAGAGTACGGCCAAAGTAGACAGAGTGAACTACACGACTACAACCAGCACAACAACATTAGGTAGTGATAAATACCTAGCAATATTGATACTTGGCTACTGCATTGAGGAGGATCAGTGAGTTCAACATAAAATAATCTCATTGGTTTTCATCTGTTCCCTACAGGACCATGTGGTGTAAATTTCACTGAACCTGAGGGTGACATCGAAATCACTCAACAGCCTAACACTGAAGCTGAGTGTTTCTACTTGGTGACTGTGTACCTCGGATATGGTATTGAAGTTCAGGTAAGCACCGTGAAAGGTGTTGATATTGTTAAGTTATTATTGTTGTGTGAAGATAATATGTAGTGAAGTTTTTTTTAGTCCACAGAGCTGAATTTGTGGTTTGGCGATATTGGAAAAAAAGTAAATCTAATTTCTTTATGATTTCAATCAAACCCACTGTCTCAGTAGAGCCATGCTGATCGGTTCAATGTCATCATAATGAAGAGAAAATACCATCCCAGAAGATTCTTCTTGTTGTACTTCAGTAACTACACCATCATAATCATTACATAATCCTGGCTGAGCTGTTAAATGTGTACGCTTGGTGAGCACAGTTAAATTTGCATGTTCACTCAACAGGGCTCAATTTTACATCCAGATTATTATTCTAATGATGAAGTTACATCCAGATTATTATTCTAATGATGGAGGAATGGATGGATGGAGGGACGGATGGATGATGGATGGATGGATGGAGGGAGTGAGGCATGAGATGGATGGATGGATGGAGGGAGGGAGGCATGAATAGATAAGGATGGAGGGACGGATGGAGATGGATGGATAGCTAGATGGATAGATGGATAGAAATGTTGTCATCTACCAATATTGTTGAAGAAAATGTTGGGTTTTTTTTCTTTCTGAAAAGTAACATTATTCTAATATTGCCAATTCTGAAGCAGCAGTGACTGTTCAGCACAGAGCAGGTATGTTAGAGAGTCTGAGAGTAATGGAGGCCAAGACAGGTTTGCTCCTTTTAATCAACTTGGGATGAGGCACAGGGATGCCTTCATCATGTTGTGCCTTTGGGGAACAAGGCAGGACATAAAGAAGCCCAGTTTGATTTTGATGAGCTTTTCAGTGTGTCAGGGTTTCGGTGAGATGGGTTTTCATGGGATCTATTGCCATCTCGGGAGAAATGCTTTCAGGCGACACTAATTGCTCTTCCTCCAAGCTCGCTGTCACGAAAAGAGGAGATACTTTGTGACAGAGGGCTGCGGTTTTTTTGAGCGGCTTCAAATTTAGTGACGATGGGAGAGGAGAAAAACTGCATAAAAAAACGTGACGAATAATGCGAAAGTTTGAATGTAAATGTATGCAAAACAGCATATGCTGGAAATAAATTGAGATGCTGAAGACTAGAAAATTAAGGACAACATGAGGGTTAACATTGATTTTTACATTTTATCTGTTCTTCAGACTCCGCTGTGCTATAATCTTTAAGGAATAAATTTAAGGGAATTTAAATAAATATTCTTGGGGGAAAAAAATACCGACCACATCTTAATGCGCTATCTGCTCTTTGATTATTTCAACGTATTTATACTAATTGTGTAACATTATCAACAATTTTTTTTAAATTTTAGGTGCTAAATGTAAGTGTTCTGGAGGAAGAGGAAGTGACAGTGGAGGATACGGGTGGCAGTGAACCCTTCATCCTTGCCAAGGATTCTGCGTTGAAGAGTGGGCTTGTACTACGCAGCCAGAGCAACCAAATTACCGTACGTTTCACGAGTGGTCGACAACAAAAAAGTGGATTCCTCCTGTTACATTACCAAGGTAATAATCCCCTCATTTCCTAACTCTGAAGTCTATACGAACCACCAATCAGACGCTGAATTGTGTCCAGCACTTCACATGTATAAATATATATATTAATATATATCTTATTCACAACAGCAGAAGTAAAATTTTGAACATGTATAAATATATATATTAATATATCTTATTCACAGCAGAAGTAAAATTTTGCATAAATGTGAGACTAACAAAGGACTATATTTGACTTTTCAAATATATCACAATAATTATACGACCAATAATATAACTTTTATACCACTTCTGTCTGATTCTATGATATGCCACATATAACCACCACATTAGTTGGAGTTGGTACCGTAAATTTGATGTGATTTTGAGAATAGGTGTGAAGAAGACAATTGTTCGTACTATTAGTGACCAAAACATGCAAATTCCAAAATAGAATCATCAGCTCTTTGTGGGAACTGAATCTGTGTTTCTTAATGCTGTGAGGTACGAGCAGTGACCTCCAGAATGTAACACTAACAGGATACATAATAATGATGGTTTATGTGTATTGTTTTTATTTGATTTTTTAGTGGTTGGAAGATTAATGTTGTTAGGAATAGTAAGACAAGTAGGAAAAACTGGAATCAGCAAATTTCCTGGAGATGGAACACGTCGTAGCCACAGAAGATGATTTCATTTGTCTCTCGTCTGTTGCCGAGCTGAGATAGCGGCTCACCTTGTCTTTTATAATGGGCTGTGAGAAATGCAATTGAGTACGAGTGTGGAGGACACGCAGCCGGTTCACAAGGTAATTAATATCTGCTGTAGCTGCGGCTCTGTCACTGTTGGCAGAGTGATTGATGCTTCCATAACATCAGCAGTGGGCCTGTCACTTTGAGCGTGAAATATTGTATTGTTTTAAGATGTGTGGGGGGAAAACAGGTTCTTTCGTGAAGTCTCTTTCTCGTTAAACATATAAACAGACATCGAGATCATCCTCTCAAACAAGCTTTACTACATTTTAATTTGCAATGTGATATGTTAAGAAATGCATTTTTCAATGCTAGTAATTCAATACATCCTGGGTTTGAACTAGGGATGCACCGATCCACATTTTTTCACTTCTCGATCCGATCCCGATATTTTGGATTTGGATATCAGCCGATACCGATACTATTCCGATTCTATTGCTTTAATATTATTATTATATGCATATATGTGCGTTTCATTGTTTTTCCCAATACTGGATCGGCCGCATCCCTAGTTTGATTCCCAGTATTTTCATTTTAATATTCTCTCTGTATTTTCTTTTAGCTGTCCATCTATTTTGGCTAACTAACAAAGTAAAAAATAACTTTCATTTTAACTAGATTTAATTAAACGTTAACACACACATTCTCTATCGTGACTATTACTTGCCCTCTAGCGAGAAAACAATAGGCAACGACACAGGTGCTCTGCAGCATAACGCAGAGGAAATATTATCTATAATGAGAAACCAATTTGGATATTATAACCAAAAATCAGAGCCCAGAAATGTTAGCAGGGCAGCAGAACAGGTCATATTTCAGTAATTGGCTCCACATTGTTGCCTGCAGCTAACGTACCTCATGCTCAATGGGGAATTACATGACGTAACGATAAGGGCAATAACTATGGTTATTTTTCGCTCGGCCGTGAAGCAGAAATTAAGAGGATGACCTGAGAGCAACATTCATAGCAACCTTGTGGCTGACTGAGTTATTGAATATCATCGTGTATCAGTTATGGTACTCAATAACTCAATAAATTTGCTAATTTGCTAATTTATTTCAGTGTGCTACAGTTCATGAACAAACAGGCAATTACGTGTGGGTTTGTAAACATATTAAACAAATAAGGTTCTTTTTTCATCAGTATTCTCTTCAGTTTTTCTTGTACATTTTACCTTTTTTTAAAAAAATATCGTTCACTTGTCTGTCTTTTTCTAACTGCACTGATGGATGGACACGTCTTACGTGGCTGTGTAGGTTATAAGTATAACAATGTTGTTATGAAAAGTTTATCTTACACTTTACCATGGTATTGTTAGTTATTGAAATACATCCAAAACTTGTGCATACACACATACAAACACACCTATAACACGCAGCTTGGTTGGAAAGTAGAAAAAAAATCCATTGCCATTGAGCAACAAACTTTCATCGGATTACAATAGAATAAAACACCGCGTTAACGCAGTGTGTACGTAAGTAAGTACAACTCTCTTAACACCAAATGACCTTTATCATATTTACATAAGTAAATTAAGATGCCACGTCACGCCTCATTCCCAATCGCTATTATAATTGCTTTTGAGACTGCAAATACCATTTCCTTCCAGGCGGGTCTTCTAATCTGAGATCTGTATCTCTGTTATTAAATCCTGATTTATTATGCATGTTCTGCGTTAGGGCGAATCGTCGCATTCAACTTGGTTTTGCCGCAGGACACCGAGACTTTCTCGTACACACTTTATCCAATAATACTGCTCACTGTGCTGTTTACTCATTATCAGGAGAAGTTTAGGTCTGACCATTAAAGTGCCTGCACTAATGAGCTAGAAGAGTGCGGTTATTAGCGAGGAAGGGAAGTTTATTTAATAGCCTCCCCTACAGACCTGGGAAGTTCACTCAATTATCAATGTGAATTGCACCCCATTGTAGCCCACTGATGAAAAAAAAGCAGGAGTACGATTATGGTAATGGGGGTAATAGACAACATTGATCTTGTGTTGCTGCTCCTGGAGTCTTTGACAGCAACCACAGCGGCCATTTCTCATCCAGCTTTGTTGTTACACACTGTGATGATTAGCTTGTGTGTAACGATTCCGTTTCGCAAAGTTTTTTTTTCGCCGCAGCTTTTATAGCCGCCATAAAAGTGATGTTAATTACTCCACTGTGAGCGAGAAAATGTAGAATGTAAAATTGCACCTCCAAGCTGCAATTTAATTAATAGCCGAGATGCTTACTAGGTCGGGTTTTTAAAAAGGTGTGTGTGTGCTGGAGTGTGTGTGTGTGTCTGTAAAATGGTGACAACTTAAATTACAGTCTAAAAAGTGCTTAAAACCCAAATGCATCCTGTACTACTGTGCAGCTTTTTCCCCATTATTTTTCCAGAGGTAATGGGCAAAAGTTGTGGGTAGTGTTCCTTGTGTGTTTCAAGACTGCCTGGGTGAGTTTGGACTGGCTCACAGTTGGGCCATGTTGGAACTGTGCCTGGTTTTCTCTGAAAACTCCTTAAATAATTGCTACATTAACTATTGTATTGTTATATGCAAGACATATGCAAACAACATGTTGCTTCCGTTAACTATAATGTGCTGCTCTGAATTTTAGTAATAGGTTGGGGCTTCAGCTCAACTGCACCTACAGCTAGGATATATCGATCATTATGATAAAAGTTCTCGTGGCGAAGAATAAGTGATGCAAAATGAGAGCAACTAAACAGAATTATTGTAGTCGAATATTTATTCCTTGCAAAATAGGGGACTGTCAGAAACAGATCTGCTGTCGTCTTCGTGAGAGAAGCTTGGTCGGCAAAAAATTAATTTGACAGTTAATTTGGGCTGGGTCAGGAGCAGATCGATGGAGCGTTCGTATGAACTAAAACAAAGGACATGTAAAAGTCACGGCTAAAATGCTTTAAGCCTTTTCTAAGCCATCTACTGGAGAAATGCGGGCATTGCAGGGAAAAGGCAGAGGTATAATGATAATAGAAATTAATAACAATTTGGACAAGTTTGGTGGGCCGGATTAAAAAGCCAAACGGGCCGCATCCAGCCCCCAGGCCATAGTTTTTGATCCTTGTTATGCTGATTAATTACTGTGCATTTTCTTCCCTTTGTTCCAGCTTCGATGCTGAGCTGTTCATCACCTAGAAAACCTTCTGGTGGAGAGGTTTCAGTGACACATCTCCATGTAGGTGGAGAAGCTCGTTTCCATTGTTTTAGTGGCTACACGTTGCAAGGTCCCAGACTGCTGATGTGTCACAACGCAACAACACCTTACTGGAGTGGAAAAGAACCACAATGCATAGGTAAGACCAAGTGTGGGCAAACTTTTTGTCAATGGCAGATTTTTCTCGGGTATTGAAAACCTGATCAATGCCTGGGTTTCACCAAATATGGGAAAATCATGTATGGGGTGCAGCAAAACAGCTACATATATCAATATAGGTTAATATCAAAATCGGAAATTAAGTGTTTGGACAATATCAGCAATTATAAAATCATTATTGTTATAAAACATTATCCTTAGTAATAATATCTGTGCCCAGACAACTTTTTGTTTTATTCTTTCTTCCTGCGCAGCATCCTGCGGGGGATTGATGAAAAATGCTACGTATGGGCGTATCACGACTCCTGGTTTCCCTGGCAACTACAGCAACAATCTGACATGCCACTGGGTCCTGGAGGTCCCTGAAGGCCATCGGCTCCATATTCATTTTGAGAAAGTGGCTCTGGCAGAGGATGATGACAGGTGGTGTATGCACGATGTTCAAACCACAGTGAGAGAGAGTGTATACACTGCTGGAGCTAAAAGCAAGTACTGAAAATGGAATCCATAAATAAAAGCGTTCCTTTGGATGCAACAATCAAACCCTTGGAGTTATAAAGATTTCAATTGTCAAGGAAAGGTGACAGGGAGTGACTGAAGGTGCACCTTTGTGATTGTTTAACCTTGTACTGTGAAGCAGAGGAAAGGACTGCAAAATGTAGTTAAATGTAGCTCTTGCTAACACTTAGCAGTAGTTATCTGCTAATGGAGATAACACTTCCCATATTACTTTTATAGCAAAAGTAATATATATCACATAAGACGACATTAAAAAAAAAAGTCAGAAGTCATCACTGTGCTACTCTCTTCACATGTGGACGTTAAATGGTTTAACACGATTGTTCTAGCTAAGTTTGGAACCTCTGTGTGTTCGTAGGTTCCTTATAAAAAATGGCGACAATATAGACTCTCCACCCATCTACGACTCCTACGAGGTCGAGTACTTGCCAGTAGAGGGTGTGCTAAGCACTGGGCGCTACCTGTTTATAGAGTTCACAACAGATGCTACGGTAACTTCCACTGGTGTAGCCATCAGATATGAAGGCAAGTTCGTTATATACACAGACTATTGTAAAGTGTTAACATCAGTACCGCAAAAGCATGTTGTTTTTATTTATCTATTTATTTTTGCTTTGTTTGCAGCTTTTGCAAACGACATGTGCTACGAGCCCTTCATAAAATACGGCAACTTCACCAGTAGTTACCCTACTTACAGGGTCGGAACCACGGTTGAATTTTCATGCGACCCTGGCTACACATTGGAGCAAGGGGCTGTCGTGATCGAGTGTGTCAACCCCCAAAATCCACAGTGGAATGAAACTGAGCCAGCCTGTAGGGGTGAGTAAAGAGATGTTTTTATCGTTGTGTAAAAATGTCAAATGTTTGGTTATTACGGTATTCCACACTGTTCAACTGAATTTGAGTTTACTGCCTGAAGTTACTGCTCAGCACATATCTATTGATACTATATAATCTATATACAGTATATATATATACATATATACTTTACTGCAGAGGTTCCCAAAATGGGGGGCCAAAGTTTCATTTCAGGGAGGGCCAAAAGCTATAAATGTTTAACAGGAAACTGCAAAAAACTGATTTGCTGAAGCCAGTGTAAAATTCATATCTGATAGTTATATTGCAAAGGAGGGCGTTATTCTTAATTTTCGGGTTCGGGTTTTTGCTGCTACACTTTCGGACTTACCAAAGTTGACAATGATAGCATTAAAAAGTTTAAGTTTTTTGGGTGGGCGGGTGGATGGGTAGCAAAAATGTTCTTATGAACTAAAGGGGAACCACTGCTATACAGTACTATATGTACTTATACAAATAGACATGTAAATACTATGTCTACCCTGCTGTTACGTTACTTTTAGTACTACTTGTCTATCTTACTGCTGTAGATGTCAAATGTTTGGTTATTACGGTATTACTTGTCTATCTTACTGCTGTAGCAAATGAATTTCCCCGGTGTGGGATGAATAAAGTCTTATCATATACGTATGTATGTGAACATTTGTTTATGTTTAAATGTCTGTGTGTTGCAGCTGTGTGCAGTGGGGAGGTCACAGACTCTGCCGGTGTTGTGTTGTCTCCTAATTGGCCTGAGGCCTATGACAAGGGGCAGGACTGCATCTGGGGCATCCACGTGGAGGAGGACAAGAGGATCATGCTCGACATCCAAGTGTAAGAGACAACGCTCGGGTGTACTACATGGAGAGTTAAAAAAGTAGAGGTCCAAAATGTATCATTTATCCTTGAAACTTCTAGACATCTAGAATCTGTTCTTTTGTGTTATCTGTGAGTCATACAGGACGCTGAAGGATTTCTGTTGTTGCGTCACCCACTCAGTTTTGTCCAAAAAAATCAATTGTTGCCGTAAAAATGATGTTGGGTTTTAATATTTGAGTTGACCTTGAATGAAATTAACTTGTCTTAGCAACCATTCATCCAGTCATTTAAATGCACATTTAACGCCCACTGAAAACTGAGCACACACAAAGACATACATCGTAAACACAGAGTCTTCACCTGTCATTTAAACACAAACACACACAGAGAGGTAGAAAGTAACAAATTACAATTACTGGTGTTGCTGTAATTGAGTACTTTTTTGTGGACTGTTACGTTCAGGAATAACAGCCAGTCAAAAGAACAACAGCTACATTTCAATGCTTATTTATTTTTTATATACCTGAAAGTGACATCTTGATTTAATAGCGGGTCACAACCAACATTTTCATGCACACAGCGCTACCTACTGTACTACAGGCATATGACAACTGATTTTTTGAGATGCACCTTGATGCGCGATTCCTTTTCTTTTTTCAACCGATGAAAATTGTCATGGATTTATAGCTATTTTTAAGTAATTCACGATGCATCACTCCCTCTCTATATAAACAAAACCTTATAATCGAGTTTTATATATATATTTATATCTAGTCTCCATCTGGGCAAGAATGACCTGCTGAAGAAAGTGCATAAAAGGTAGTATGTTTAGTAGGTTTTTTTCTTGACAACATTGACCCCTGGTGCCTCAAGTAAAAATATATTGTAGTTCAGTTTATGTCAAGTGGCTACATAACCAATGCTGTTGTTTTCTCTGATGAACTCACTAAAATTTACAGGCCTCATATTTGAAGATAAATACTTGATTCTGGAACTACAGTAACGAGTTCTCCCACTGTCTCGTGGAGTAAAGTCACGTGTTAGTAATGGGTAGAGGCCTCTAATGTGATAACAGGTGGACAATTACACAAGGAGGAGACTGCATTCTGAATGTGTGTTCTGTGACCATGTGACATACAAGCTGGCACCTTCTGTCCTGTATTCTAATACACACTGTTGTCCCTACTGCTGCAAAGAACAACGGGTCTAACAAGTCTGATTGTACTAATGAGAACAGTGTTGAGGGAGAGAGATTGAGAAAGTTCTGGTTCAAATCCAGGCCCTGGGACAACTGTGGTGTGTTGAGCAAACACAAAATAGCCAAAACAAATTTGGCCTTCAAAATATGTAAATGAGCATAATTAATATGCATTACCTCAAAGTGAAAGGCATCGTATTGAAGCGTCTATCCACCTCACTGAGGAACGTTCGAGATGTCTTCATCTTCAGACCGTACACCTTGTTGGGGTCTCGTTTGTAAACGGTTGTTCTTTGACCTCCGTCTCTGGCCTAAAAACACAGACAATAACACTTTTTAATCAGTGGTGTACACTATTTAAATAATCCCATATGCAGGAATCGTTTTCCTCTGTCGAAATAAATAGCTTTTACAGTAATATTACCTTTCCTTCTCCAGAGCTAATGAGCACATCCACTGCGTAGACCTCATGCACCTCAAACTCAGCCTTCTCATGGTCCTTTCTGTGAACACAAGTTGATTCAATAGTTAAAAAAAAACATCACACTAACAAGGTCACTAACGGTTACCACAGACTAAAAGTAACAAGAGTCGTGACTGACTTCTGCTGGTCCGTTGGGTTTTGGATGATGGTCTTCTCTCCATCAATGACGTGCTGTTTGAGCTGATGGGACAGCATACCTGTAAATAGATCAATCATAGAGAGATGGATGAAAAATATGAGAAATTCTGATAAAGACATGGATAGCTATATAGAGGTATATATAGTCAGCCAAAGAGACATATATACATTTATACACACACACATATATACACATATGTGTATATATGTGTATATATACATACATATACATATATATATATATATATATATATATATATATAGGTGGTTTATAGGTATTAATAGAAACTGGTTCCTAACTAATTGTCTTGTTTTTGGTGATGCAGTAATGAAGTGTCTGGATCCTGGAAACGTGGAGCACAGCCATAAGGTGATTTCAGGTGGTCACTTCACCGTTGGAGCCACAGTGCAGTTTATCTGTAACAAAGGCTACGTCCTCTCTGGCAGCAGCCTCCTCACCTGCTGCAACCGTGATTTGGCTGCACCCAAGTGGAGTGAGAGGCTGCCCAAGTGTGTCCGTAAGTTGCGCATACACACACACATAGCCACATCACTTGTGTGAATTTAAAGGTTAGCACAGTAGAATACATATTGTATCCTGGAAATTGTAAACCACTTTAGGGTGGTTATAGGACTGAGAACCAATAATACACAGCCATTTAAGGTAAAGAAAACAACTGTCAAACTGCTTTTAAGTTTATTATATTATCTGAATCTGATTTCAAAATCTAACAAAGACCATTTTTAGTTAATTAGTGATTTCACCTACTGCTGAAATACGTATATCCCATTAACTGGCTACAATTTAAGTAAAATGAGTCTAATATACTTGTAAGAAAAGGAAAAACAAGCAATTACAAAGAGGTGAAACAACCTTTGCTAGTTAAGCTAAGTTACTTCCTGTTGCAACACTAAGAATGATTGTTTGTTTATTTGTTTTGTATTTTTGTCCACTTGTTTATCAAGGTATCCCCCGTATTGTCCCTTTAAGTTAATATTAAATTTGGAGTTAATTCTTCCACTGTATTCTTCTTTGGGTTTAAACGACAATACTGCCATCTAGTGGGGTTATTTTCCATTTTCAACTAATATCTTATTGATTAGTTGCAAAACAAATATAAAAGAGAAAACAAAGGAACAATTAAGTGTGGCTGCATGGCATAGGAACCTAACCACCGATGGTTTTTCAGCTAAGATATTTGCGTGAGAATGTACTTACCAACATGCCACCGTTCTCTGGTTTTCCTCAGCTGAGAAGTATGAACCCTGCAGAAACCCTGGTGCTGCGTCCACCAGTGTACAGAACTCTGAAAAAGCCTTTTACCAAGCGGGAGAGACGCTCAGCTTCTCCTGCCACTCAGGGTACGAGCTGCAGGGCCAGGCCACCATCTACTGCATCCCTGGACACCCATCACTGTGGAATAGCTCTCCACCTGCATGTAGAGGTAAACACACAGATTCATTCACAAGCATTAACATGCAGCAAATCAACGAGGAAGTGTTATGAAGAAACCATTTATTTTGAAATATTTTGTAGTCTATGCAGTCCCAAAAAATAACATGCCCAGTGCCATGTGCCAGTCTTTAGGGCAGCGTACTTCTGTTGACAGAGTTTTTCCCCTGATTCAGTGCCATGTGCCAGTCTTTAGGGCAGCGAACTTCTTCAGCGATGGAGAATACATTTTAAATATATATTCATTTCTTTAATTTAGATCAGGGGTGTCAAACTCATTTTGGTTCAGGACTGCTTACAACCTAATTGAATGTCAAACAGGCCGGACCAGTACAGTCATAACAATCTTCTATAAATAACAAAAAGTGTGTCCTTTTGGCCTTTGTTTTCATGCAAAAAAAGTACATGAAATAAATATTCATATTTAATTAAGTATAATTTTAAGAAACATTTCCTGAACAAGTGTTTGTGTAGTTTTTTATTTTCTAAATTCATCAGACAGGCCGGATTGAAACCCCTAAGTAGGTAGGTTTTGGCCCACGGGCCATATGTTTGGCACCCCTGATTTAGATAGATAAGTATTGTGACTTCTGTTACAATCAAAACTGCTACTGAACTTCACTTGTGTCTTTGCAGCATCCTCAAAGCATGCAGTGACTGAACATAAGTTAGACGGTGAGTCATGTTTCAAAATATTATTACTGTAGTTTTAGAACACTTCAGATTAATGTACAGACCACTGGGTACAGTGTCCTAATCCCACCTATAATACTTTGGACATATATTTGTACACATATTTTGGCTAATCAGTATATATGTGCACTAATATCAACATAAATATGTGGGTTTTTTGTGCTTTTGTCTTATTTTTGTATTTCAGTGGTTTACAGAGATTATGAGCAGCAGGACACCAGTGTTATTCTTGTTGTTTTAATTCCATCTGCGATCATCTTGGCAGTTATTCTCGGGATTTATGTCTACTTTTCGAAGTAAGTTGTACCTTAAAAATGAAAACCGATACTACATACGTGTATGCATATACAGGATGTCATCGTTTATGTCCCGTTTACCCTCTCAGACTACAGGGGAAGACCATCAGAATGCCAACATCCTTACTGTCACATGAAAGAAACACGATGGAAGAGTCGTCTTTTGACAACCCTGCTTTTCAAGGTGGAGTAAGTGCAGATGTCATTGATGTGCAAGACGTTTGTTCACAGAACACCAGTGTGCTGTCCTGATCCCTTCACCTGCACCATCTACTTCATCTTCCCTGACCACAGCAAAGTAACTGTCACATTCCACGTGTTTACTGTCATCATTATTGTGGTAGAATTTTCAGCCATTAAAATCATATACATGTGTCATGTCAAATTGTTATACTGTTTGCTTTGTTTCATCCGTATATATGTTGGTTGCAGGTTGGTTATTTGTATATTTCTCAGTGAACAGCGTAAAAATTTAAATTAGATATTTTTGCAATTTATTTTTGCAACTTAAAAAAATTAGGGGGTTATTAAATATGGGATACAATAGGTAACCATTGCTAAACTGTTAACGGTTAAAAAAAAAGACAACAAATAGTTCCTACTATCGCAAGTAGTCACCTGTTTTGTTTCTGACTGTGGTCCGGTACTGCTCTACGTCACTGAAACGTCAGCTACCCGGATGGATGCTAAGCTAAGCGACAATATTCGATATTGTGAAGGCACATTTTGCTTAACGAAGAAGTTTTAACCAAACAATAAACATAACGTTTGGGATACACAAGCAAAGACACATAAACTGTACTTACTGACACATGCTTTTGCGGGTTTGAAGTGGAAGTTTTCACAGCGACAACTGTGTCCGCCGGGGCAGGCATGTTTTGCGTTGAATGATGAATTTATCGACTCGTTTGCATTTGAAAACTAAAAGCTCGCTAAAATATGGCCAAGGATTCCCTTCTCTTTCAGAGAGCTCTGCTTCTTGTTCGTCACCAGCCATTATCCAACGACATAATATACCATGTAAATAGTCAAAGTTATCTGGCTACATTGACAGATTGGGAACGCCCACGCACTTTTTTTTTAGTTAACGCTGATTGGTTCCCCCCGCATTTACTTTTTACACAGTAACGGGTTCTTTTCAAATGTAAAAGTAAAATTACCTATTCCCAAAACTACTTAAACAATTACAATCTGCTAACAGAAACTACTCAATTACAGTACCGTGAGTAAATCTAATTCGTTGCTTTCCACCTCTGTCTAATACTCAGTGGCATGAGTCAATGATGAGGTATGTTTAAAAATGACTTAAAGAGGTCATTTATAGAGATAAAGTTATTGGACCTAAAACATAACCTTGAGACATGTCTACAAAGCAGTAGATGGTTCAAGAAGTACTAAGGTAGCACACCATCCTGTAAAGGGAACAAATTATGTCAATGATATCATATATCATTCAAAGATGTAAAAAGATCTTTTTGTCTTTCAATGTTTTTTGAGTAAATGAAAATGTGGAGCTAAAGCTGTCATTTTTGTAGTCAATGTTTGTAGTAGTTGTTTCTACTGTAGTGTAATTTTGCCTTTTTTTATGACCAGAGATTTTGTAAGGTGGCAATGTGGTTAATTGCAGTGGGAGCTAATGTTTAATGAGTATAAATAATGCAAGGAGGCTGAGAAATATGTATTAAAACTATTAACTTCACCTACAGTGAGAGTCCTCTGTTTGACTGATTTGTCTTTTGGTCTTCACAGGACAACTGAAAAAAATTAGAAGGTATCCAGAGGTGGAGCAAGAGTTATGAAAGCTTTGCCTTAAGGGACTCTCTTTACTTTCCCTAATCTCCCTAATTTCCTTTTTTTTTTAATCACAAATGTTTTATTCTCCAATATTCTCTTTGTGTGGATATTGTAAATATTTTCTCTATAGGTCAAACCAGTCAGATCTGTTGGACACTATGCAATATTTTTTTTCTAAAAATTGCTAGTGACCATTGATTGCCATTGATTACTTTATACAGTAATACCTGACTGTTAACGTTTTTAACAATTGCCTTTTACCATTTGTCTTTATGTTTCTGTGTATGATTTGTTATTTGCAAATAAACTCCCGGTTTCTTTTGAGTGACTCACTATTTTTGTACATTACTATTACTATCTACCTGCAATTCCAAATTGCTAATTGGTCTGGCAGTCGTTGCCATAAAAATAATGTTTTGACTTCCCCGTCATTTCTGCCGATGCGAATACTACTACATTTCTGTATAGCTCTTTTAGCTCTGCTTCGTATGTTCATGTGCTGTAGGAGGTCGTGTGTTTCGAAGTGTTGTTCGGGGTCAGTCACCCATAATTTCAGCTGAGCTTTCATTCTGATGCAAGGGCAACGAAGGCAGATTAATCTACTGTATTAAAATGTAAATTTATTGTACACGTTGGGTAAAGGACAAGGAATGACTCCTTGTTTGACATCTTAGGCAAAAAAAGACAAAAAAACAGGAGGAAACCAAGAGAAATTTCGAATAAAATATCAATTGGTATGATATATTAATATGTTCATATATTTTGTAATTAAAATCAAATTTATATGTGACTGTAAATTTAATACCAGTAGCTGTCTAATTTCTTTTTTTAATATTTAGCATATAAACCAGGGATATCAAACATAAGGCCTACAGACCAGAACCGGCACGCATGGGGGGTTTAATAGGGGCTGCTTGTTTTGTAAAAATATATTTCAATAAATATAAATATTTTTCAATATACATGTACTAATTTGCTGGAAAACAAAAGGGGGAAAACATGGTCTGGCCCACTTGACCTCTAATCAGGCCTTATATGGCCCATGAACCAAATTGAGTTTGACACCACTGATTTAAACTATATGATACTTCATAATGTGTAATCTGCATGAGGAATTTGAATAAAACCTATGCCATTTAAATTTACTCGCAGAAAATTATATTATGCACCCTAAGCACATATACCTGATGTTTCAAAACCTACATGTAGTACAATGCATTTTATTAGATATTTTGTTAAAAAAAAAATAGTATTAAGAAATACTCCCTCAAACCAGGAGAGGGCGCTAAAGTACAACAACTGGTTCTGCACCGTAGCTTGAGAACCACTGCTCTTGTTAACAGACAACCTACTTCACCCACTGTGCTCCAGCTGTCTCACACAGTTAAAAAAAAGTGGTTAAAAAATAGAGCCCGCAGACAAAGGACTCTTCTTCCCAGGTGCTCAAACATTAATAACTACACCGCTGCTCTGGGATTCAAGACCGTTTTTCAAGCACGGTACATCTAAAACCATTACTGTGCACCTGACCTGAGGCCTATTTGAGGCAATCAGCAGCAACAAAGAGGAAGAAAACATAATCGGTAAGGCCTGTTATGTTTATGTCCCATAATAGATGTTGAAGTCTAGTAATCACCTGTTGCATTTGTTGGGTACTTTTGAGGCAATAAAAGTACACAAATAAGATTGTATCAATAATCCATTTGTTGGGTACTTTTGAGGCAATAAAAGTACACAAATAAGATTGTTGAATCAATAATCTCTCTTTGCCAAAGTAGTGAATCTTTCTGTAATGAAATATTAAAAATTAATCAAGTTCTTGATAGGGTATTCAGTTAGGATTTTTATCTTATCCCTAACTGGGTGTATTTTTGATTAAGTGGTAACAAATGTATTTTCCAATAGAATAATCATCACTATTGTCAGTTTTTCATTAGAAATGTGCCACTCTCATCACCACCTGTATAAAGTATTATATTAACCAGATTTTTTTTAAAAACTGCTGAGAATAAAGTTCCCGTAAAGTACTAGACTGCTAAGATTTTATCCCAAAAAAATTAGTGCCACAAAATATTATATGGTTCTATAAGTAGCGGTTACCACACCTGCCTTACTCATCCTGGGTCTAAGCCCCAGAGAAACTACATACTCAATAGCGCCTCCTGTGGCAGCCTCTTTTTTAAACAGTACCAACAAACTGATCCTGAACGATTGAGATTTAGTTTTATTTTTTGTAAGTATTTTTTGTAATAAAATGACAACAACGACGAAGAAACTCCAACCTGTTGGTCAGCTGTTTTCACTTGCATTGACCCAGTTGGAAGTCCCTGGTATAAATGTGTGTTTTATGGCTGTCACTGTGGAGACTAAATGTGTTTGTGGTCCCTCTTCACCTGCTCTTTGTGCTTTTTTTTTTTACACTGAATAGACAAACCTCTAACAGTGATTAAAGAACATTTAACTAATTGCTCTGAAGACAGCTTTGTAGACACACAATATATTTAATGGGATCAACATTATCCGTCATTATAGCCTCTATTTGCCACTTCCTAAGTGAATTGCAGTACAAAACCAACCCTTTTCAGAATAATGAATCTCCAATTTTCTCCAGTGAAAGGAACATCACAAAAGCCCTACACAAGCAGGCGAACAAAAGGCAGCAACAGGAAACAGATAGTTAGAACAGTTATGTCAACACTCTCAAAATGGGACAATTCAGACGCTAACTAAATTAAGTTATATTATGTCCACATGACTGCCACCTGGAGGAATGATTTGAGAAAACATGGAAGACGTTAAGCTTCTGCTTCATTTATATTAATAATTTTAAAAAGGTTGTTGTCATTGTTTACAAGCAGATACAAAGCAACACTTTGACATTTCTTAGAAATATTTCTAGTTTTATTTGTCACGCTTCCCTTTTATGTGGTGTTTTACATACTAAGACTGGGAGCTAAGGGCTTACTTTGTGACATCAATTTGCAAATGTGCAGTTGCACTCATTCGTTGATTGAATCCCAGACTGTTTTGATGCAACAAACAAGTTGCAAATGGAAAGGCGCGACTTCCAAAACTGGAATGAAAACAAAATCTGTAATGTGGTATTTAAGGTATTTATCAGGGTGTTGTTCAGCATCTTGGTTAGCATTGCATATGGGTCAAAGGGCGTTTGTTTGTTTCACAATATTATTATTGGTTTGTATTGTAATCTAGATTTTTTGCCAATTAAAAGAACATTCTCTCACCAAAGTACACTGTATACTGTAATACTACATATTTGTCTTGATCTTTGTTCCATAATGATAATCATGTTTTATTTGCTTCAGCGCAGCTCTTTTGTGTTAAGCCTGCACAGAATTTGCAGGTGTGTGTGTGTGTGTGAACATGCTGAGATTAAGTGTCGGTGTTCACCACTTTATTTCTAATGCCAGTGAGTAGCACAGACAGCCTAACACCTAGAGAAAGCAGGGGGCCTTTATGGCTTCTTCTTGATCCCTTGTTCTCCTCCCATTCGCTTCCCCCTCCTCCTGCCACGACAGCACGATTAACCAGCAGACACACAATGGGGGCACATGTCCCTGTGTGCCACAACCAGCTCCTTCAGGCCTGCGTGTTCTAATAAGGATTAGGGAAGAAGTTGACAAAGAGTGAAGATTTTGCTGCATGTCACTTATGTCCCAGGTTATTCCCGGGGCCTTGTGTTCGAACATAAGGTGTAATCCTCTTAAATATCAAAGGTGGACAAATCATATTACTTTAGATAGTGCTTCCGCGGGCACATTATGCACTCGACAAAGAGGCACAACCTCACCATCTGCCTTCATTTTCTTAACTAGCTCGAGCTGCCGCAAGTCCAATGTATGTCTATTGTCATTCGTTTTTTTCCGTAGTTTAATGTTGTTGGTTTTTAATTTTGTGGAGGGTTTTTTTTGTTAATGCTATTGAAAAAACACTGTTATGAAATCCTTAACATTTCCTCAATTTAATAAGAATGATTCATACAGTGCAGCAAGTTAAATGCGTTTTTTGTGTTGTAGTATGAATTTTTTTATTATTATTATTTTGGACCAAGACTATGTTTCTTAGCAATAAAAAACATTACATCTTCAATACCATCAAACAGGTATGTATATAGGAAATTAACTACATTTTTGGTATCATAGTAGTATTTGATAGATGATCTACTATCTTATTGTCAAAGAGGATTTTTACAGTGATGCCCAACTCAAAAAACAAAAACAACACAGGCCCGGGTTTCATACGGAGTAGAGAAAATTGTGGGTTGAATAAAACAAGATTATCATATTCCATAACATATTTTAGTCAGAAAGGTTAAAATACGCTGCTATAGCAGGGTAAATTATGTATGAAGAATCTTTAAAAAAAAAGTGTTTCTCCTTAGTCCGATCAACTCATCTCCACTGTAACCAGAGCCACTGTATCAGTTCTATGTTTGGTATTAAGGTGTAATCAGCCATGTAGGACGTCAGCTTGCCAAGAAGCCAAGTCTTTTGTTGAGAAGCCCATCTGTTTCGTGAATTGGGATGTGCCCAGTCCCACTGAGCTGCTGGAATGAAAGGGGGTAAGTATGAGAAGGCCCAGCTGAAAGGACAAGGGTGGGCGTCAGCATCAGGACACAGTCTGTCCCAAGTACTTGGTGCACATTACTCTTATTCATATGCGTCTCCCTCCACCCCTGTGTGCATACGACTCAGAGATCAGAGCCTGACATATGCACCAGGGACACATGCCTGTCACAAGGCTGTGTATGCCCCCCCCCCTTTCTGTTTAACGTTGTTTGGCCAGCATTTCATATTGACTTGCCAGCGGTGGATATTAGCCAACCTCTTAGCAGGACATACAAATCTGTGAGTGTAAAACAATTCAAGTAGAGTCCTTCCCCACTGGGGCAGGAGAATATGTTAAAAATGTCAAATCTTTTGATAAGATTGTATAACTTTTCTCTGGCAACAAAGCTTGAAATAAAAAAAAACCCAATATACAGTAATTATTAGATGTAATACAAAACACTGTTCTTATGCCAATCTCATATTTTCGCTAAAACTGCTCCTCTAAATCCATAAATCAATTTAAAAATGTTTATATTAACAAAAAGGTAAAAACATTTAACATTTTGGCGTGAACGTAGAATTTCTATTATTATCAACACATCAACATGTTATTTGACCACCAGAAAACCAGAAGTTATCATCTACCATCATTTATCACCGTGATCAATTAGCAATCTGCCTTGGGTGGATATTAGCGCCACCATATACAAATACAAACAAAATGTATGTAATGTGACCTGAAACCGATTTACCGTATTTTCCAGACTATAAGTCTGGTATAAGTCGAGTATAAGTCGCACTTTTTTTGTCCTTTGGCTGGATTTGTGACTAATACTCAGGTGCGACTAATATGTTAAAATGTATAATTTCACATGTGTATTATTTTCACACTGACTGCCACTAGGGGGCCTTGGCGCGACTTATACTCCAGAGTATTATATATATTTGTGTTATTTTCACACTGACTGCCACTAGGGGGCCTTGGCGCGACTTATACTCCAGAGTATTATATATATTTCTTTGTTGTTGTTGTTGTTGTTTTTTCATTATGCATTTTTTGGCTGGTGCGACTTACACTCTGGAGTGACTTATAGTCTGGAAAATACAGTACGGATGTTTGTTGCCACTATGTTTGTGACACATTTAAGTCTAAAGAAAATAAAATTTGAAAATAAATGATAATAAAGATGATCACATTTAATGCTGCTGCTTCTCAACATCTATGAAATATGACTCATGTGACCTGCTCGTGAGAGACTTGACATGTGTCGGGTAGGAGGGCCATTTCATTTCATTGTTGGCTATATGGAAGGACCATATGCCCCGAGCTCCTGACAGTCCCTCGGCCCTTGCCTTCCCCTCAAATGTACACACGGGCACGTTCCTTTTTTAACATTAGCAGCCTGCATCTGTCCCCGCCTCCTTGCCCCTGGCAACTCCAGATAAAGTGAGAGCAGCTGCATTGATGAGCACAATACATGGGTTCCACGGCAGCTTAGCTGGGTTCACTCCCCACTTGACTCTCCTTTGACCTCTGGCAGAAGAGTCAGTCCCAGTAGACTGCTCTGCCTGCCGCCTGATAAAGACTGTCTCTCTCTTGGTATTGACAACTCCCCCAACCGTCACCACCCCACACAACGACCAATACATGCAAACACACAGACACACATTCGTAGTCAGGACGCGCACTCAAACACAAAGCAATGGGTGCATCCTCAGGTCAGTCAGGGCTTTTTTAATTTGATTTGTGGGGTAAATTATTTTTAAATCAGGTCTGGAAAAAAGACACAGCACAAAACATGTAAGGAAAAGCTGTCAGTTAAGAACTATTCAGGACATGATCAATATTTGTTTCTTTCCTTTTTTTATACTCAGTAATAAGCAGAATTACAGCCTTTCTCTACACACTGAGACACAGGAAACACTAGAGCTGTGTGCACGTGCTGCAGCACCAAATCTATTTTCGATGTAAGTATGAAAGGCTCGTGATCGTTTCTTTCCCTGAGGGACCCATGATACGGAGAAAACCAAAGATAGTTTGATAATATGATGGTGATGAGTGAATACTGAGAAAGTGGTGCTGGGTAGAGAGTCAGGGGAGGGTATCATTGATGAGAAAAATACAGACAAGTAAAATTGTGGGGAAAAAAATCCAATATTTTGATCACAATTTTTTAACATCAAACCAAAAATGAAATGTAAATTAGGATTTTGCTGAAAACAAAATCAGATTCTTAAAACAATTCTCAGAGTCCTCTACACTCTAACTTGATGAGAAACATGCAGAAATATACAATTCCCCCGAAAAAATCCAAATATTTTCGTCATAATTTTTCACCATCTGACCAAAGATGACATGCTTAATTAGGATTTTGCCGAAGAATTTAGAAAAATCCTCAAAATGCTCTAATTTGATGGGAAACATGCGGACTAGATAAAACAAAAATCCAAAACTTTTTATCATAATTTTTTCACCATCTGACCAACATGCAAAATTAGGATTTTTCCAAAAAAATTTTTAAAAAAAGTCCTAAAAATATTTGCAAAAAATGAGACAAGAGTAAAAAGAAACCCCAAAACTTTCATCATGATTTTCATAATTGATTTACATAAAATATGACATGCTAACTAAGAATTTTGCCCAAAGAATCCCTGAAAGAACTCGGCTACCATTTAGCTCTTTTACATTGTAACAAAATAGCCTTTTAATTTGCTGCAGTGTCTACGGTGTCTGAATTGTGTCTGCATCAATCACACTCATCTCCCATGAGCCACGGGCCCTTCATCCCCCCAGGGACCTCTCAGAGAACACCCCCTCAGGCACATCACTCTTACTTGACTAGTGCGTGGGATTCCCTTGTTGTGCAGCTACAGACACTCACTGATGAAAAAAACTATACTGCCTGAACTCTAGCTAGTATATCACTTTACCATTTCATCCCTTTAACTTTATTTGGCCAAAAATATTTTCAATTTGCATTAAGAAACTTGCATTAAAAAACTTGAATATTTTCATTCGGTTATTATTAAATCCTAAACTGAAAACATTCTGTGGTATTGTCTATTAAAAAACAAACATTAAAAAAACAAATTAAATATATGATTGATGTTTGTATTTCAACTACGTTGGCTAAAGTTTTTTCCCTAATGTTCAGATGTACAGTGAGCAGTGAAGAATTCCAGTGAGTGTAGTTATGTGGCAGTGAGAAATCAATGTCCCTTCCAAACAGTGCACACACTCCCTCTGGTGATAACGTGACTTCACAACCACTAGTGCGCAGGTGTCAAACTCATCTTAGTCCAAGGGCCACATACGGCCTAAGTAGCTGTGAAGTGGACCAGACCGGGACAATCACACATAACACATATCGACAGTATCGACAAACTACCAACTCCCCCAGACCTCACATTTTGATGACCTGCTTCTTTCTTTTTTTTCTTCCAACGCCAACTGCTCTCATGCTGCCACATTTCAGCGCAGGCCTGGCTCTAATCAATGACTCCTGTGTTCGAACACAGTATGTGTGCGTGTATGTGTGTATCCAAACCACCTGATAGAAAATTATTTTTATTTTTATTGGAATGTAATTTGTAATTTTATTTTAAAGTCGGAGATGTGAAATTTTTCCTCTCTACTGTAGTTTAAAATTATTCTCAATGTGACATTGAGTTATTAAAAATAAGAATATACTTTATTTAATTTTCATTATTTCACTAACTTGGACCTAATGTTAATTTAAAACAGTCGAAATATGTTAGGATATGCTAGCTAGCTCAAAAGGGTACGTGCTGTATATATTATATAACTGTATGTGTTATATAATTAGGCCTTAACTTTTATTAATCTCCACAACACTCCAGTTGATAAAATATATTTTTAAAAAGTTGTATTTTTAAATACCGAATAAATTGCTATTTATTTTATACAATAATTTGCCGTCTTAATTGAGCATGACACGAACTTTAAATATACATATAGATGTGAAAGATGATGTGTATCATTTTTATGTTTTTAAAACATTTTTTTAAGTGTAATCCCTGTAATATTATTTATCAGGGACTAACAGAGCTTGGTAGCCGCGTGGGAAAATCCTTTTTTCAGTCCAGTCACGGCGTGACATCTTTTTTAACAGAGCGGCCTTTATGTCTGCTCAAAGATAAGACACTTTTTTCGATGGAAATAAAAAAAACAGTCCTAACTAGCGGAGAAGTGTACGCATGTGTGCATTTTTGTCCTCCCTAAGTATTGCCTTAAAGACAAAATTCAATAAGACGTTTGATTTTATTCCGTTTCCTGTTGTTCCTTGTTGTAAAATATATCTTTCATGTTTTACCTATACATTTATGTTAGACTAAACCGTTTTAAAAAGCATCTTCCCATAGGCTCTCTGTGGTTATGACGTCACGACGTGCTGCTTTAACAATAGGCCGAGTTTAAAAGAGGTCCGCTGTTCATGACGAGGCTTCCCCCAGAATGACATCTGAAGGAGTGCAACAGGGATGGACAATTTCAGGGTTCGCCGTCAAATTTACAGATTTGGATTTTTTTAGTTGACGCAGACGCCCAGAGGTTGTCCTTCTATTGGGGTTTTTGCTTCTTTGCGTGTGTTTTGGCTGGATGCAAAAATGTGCACAACTTGAATCCCGTGTTCTCCTCTCCACCGTGTCGTTTTTGAGAAATACAGCGCAGTGCGCTTCTCTACTGTACACCTGACCTGTGGACTTATTCATAACCGACTGTGGATTTCCACACGGAGAGTGAATGCCATTTCAGTTCGATGCTGTTGAAAAGCAAAGATTTTAGACTCCAGTCAAACGAGTCATTAAAGACGGACACAGGTGTTGTTTACACTGGAACACTCCGGACGATGGTTCACTGCACCAGCTGTAAGAAGCCCATTTCCGACAAGTTCCTCCTCAAAGTGTTGGACAGTCCTTGGCACATCAAATGTGTCCAGTGCTGCGACTGCAAGTGCAGTCTGACAGAGAAGTGTTTCTCACGAGAGGGAAAGCTTTACTGTAAGAACGACTTCTTTAGGTAAGCGGTCGTGTATTGTTTATGTTCAGTTGGTTTGGTAAACTGTTGAAACTGTAGAAATAGAATCTTCTAGACTTCTAGACAAGAACTGGTTGTGCTGCTCTTGTTTTTAATCACACAAGCACGAACGGTCACATTGTGTGGCTGTAAAATATTTTATATTAAAATGGCAGAAATAACAAGTCAAATGAGACTATATTATTTCATCCTTGACGCGTCCTTTAAAAAAATACAAATTTGAATCGTCATACTTTTCATCATCCTGTGAGTTATTCTTTAAGTTGTATAATAGTAGTGATATTAGCACCATTAACAACACCTCTGTCTCTCTACCGACCTCCATCGACTCTAACAGGAGATTTGGGACTAAGTGTGGCGCCTGTGCGCAGGGGATTTTACCCAGCGACCTCGTCCGCAGAGCCAGGAGCCGAGTGTTTCACCTCAGCTGTTTCACCTGCGTCATGTGCCACAAGCAGATGTCCACAGGAGAGGAGCTCTACATCCTGGACGAGTTCAAGTTTGTTTGTAAGGCGGACTATCACCACAATGACGACAACAACAACAACAACAACGAGGATGACGACAGTCGAAACGGCGGGAAAGACACAATCCTTCTCTCAGGTGATTCAGGTCGACGTATTTGGGCATTATTATTATTATTATTATTATTATTATTATTATTATTATTATTACTGCAGCATCTTTAAACAACAATGGCAACAAATAAGTAAGAAATAATTGACATTACAGCAATTATTGATGTATTTTACTATATCTTTCGATATAGTAAAATACAAAAAACAGTACAGTAAAATCAGACAAAAGTCTACAGACCTATAATATTTATATATTTTCTCTATTTTGTTCTTTTTTGTTCTTTTAAATATGTAGACGGGAACCGTGCTATAAACTTAATATTGTTATTAATATATATTAATATTGTACCTAAACGTCACATTAAAAATTGCTGTTTAAAATCGGGCACAAATGTTGCATATAATATATAAACCATATAATAATATATAATCCTTTTGTAATCTTAAAATTGATTTTGAATTTTGAAATTGAGTTGTCGATATGTTGAATAGTTATTAATTTTCAAAAGTATTATTCACGCACGATAATTGCTTTCCGAAAGCAGTCATCCTAATCACACTGTTTTGGTTTTCCCCTGATTTCAGTGACGACATCCAGCGACCTCAGTCTGTCCCCAGAGTCACAGGACCCGCAGGACGACGGGAAGGACTCGGAGACGGGACAATTGTCCGATAAGGACGTTTGCGGCAACGACAACGACGAGCAGGAGCCCGCGGGTAAGAGACGCGGCCCGCGGACAACAATAAAAGCCAAGCAGCTGGAGACACTGAAGGCGGCGTTCGCTGCAACGCCGAAGCCCACCAGACACGTCAGGGAGCAGCTGTCGAGGGACACGGGCCTCAGCATGAGGGTCATCCAGGTACAAAAGAGGAAATTACAAACATGATTAATGACGCCACGCTGCGGACCTGACCCGCTCTGCAAGCGTTATCGGACAAATCGGCCCAACTAGCGTCCGTATTTGTGAAGGCCACGTATTTTTGATATGTAGGTTATTTGGTAATTTATTTCTTTTTTTAATACTGTACATTTGTACTAAAAAAGTTTGTTGATTTTTTTTCGTGTCAAATTAATTATTTTCATTAATTTTCCAGAGGTTTTATCTATCTCTCTATCAAGAGAAAAGCCAAGAGTAATCTTTTAAATCAAATTTCGATTTGACTTAAAATGTTATTGTATTCTGAGAAAATGATAAACCCAAAACAAAATCAGCATTCAAAAATAATAGGAAGGATGGTTGTCATGGTGTAAGCGCGTGCGCGAGAGAGCGGGAGGGAGCGCAGGAGCAGCTTTCACTGGGAACAAAATATTTAAACTCTTTTTAAAACGGGAAACAACCAACTTCTCACTGGCAGACGGATGAATCGGTCCACCGACCGTCTTCTAACAACAGTTACTTAATTATGTGTGTTAATTATGACCGTTTCAAATTCATCCAATTGAAGCCCCAAAATAATGTGAATTTATGGCATTAAATGTAACTATTAGCTTTAACTGTGTTTACTTTTCTCCATTCACTTTCTCCTGCTTCCATAAGGTTTGGTTTCAAAACCGGAGGTCTAAAGAGAGACGCATGAAGCAGCTGAGTGCAGTGGGGTCACGAAGGCACATGTTCTACAGGAGCCCAAGGAGAATGAGAGTCCTGGGAGAGGGAATGGAGCCGGGAGAACTGGGACCACTCCCTTACTATGGGGGTGAGCTACGATTGGGGGATAAATGATTTTTTTTTTTTTTTTTTTGATGATTGGCTGCTCCAGAGTATCTGCGGACCCCAACCAAGAGGGTCCATTCTTTTAGGACTCCCTGGAGCAGATTTGGGTTTCACAGTTTAGAATACAGACAAGAATAAAAAAGTAATGGCTTGATTGATTGACTATAAAGTATTATCTTTTGGGATAAACATACAGAAAAGCAGTCAGTAATTTATTAAATAATAACAATAAAAAAAACCTAAAAAAATTTTTCATCAACTTGGCCTCCAATCTAGTCCCAAAAAATATTCAACTTTTTTTAACCTCCAAACAGACGCGTTCTGACAAAATAACTTTGTTTTTAGTGAATATAATTTACAATAACCATTTTATTAAAACATATTCTGTATGTATTCTTAATATATTATAACACATATTATTGTTATTACTATCATCGTTATTATTGTTTATTATTATGTTAATACTATTGTTGTTGTTGTTGATAATAATTATAGTAATAATTATAAGTGTTAGAATTGTAAACATCACTGGCTGCTGTACTTACATCTAATGTTATAAAGCAGCATCAAGATTTGAAAGCAACATAACAGAAAAAAATATATTTTATCAATTTCTATTTTTAATTGTAATAATAATTACACTTATAACAACAACAATAATAATAATATTTAACTGCTTTGTGGGTGTTTTTTTGTTGTTGTTATTGATCCACAAGTTATTCATATATAAAATAGACAAACTCTCTTGCATAATTATATTTGATGTTGCACTAATTCAAAGATGTTCATTACCACAGACTATGACGAGTACCAGAACGGAAACTTTGAGTACTTCCCAGCCCTGCCATCGTCCCAGGCTCAGACGCCCGCTGACCTGGGCTTCGTGCCTTCCTCCATCCCTGGAGTTCTAGACCACCACCTACACCAACACCATCAGGGCCACCACTTTGTAGGAGAGCTGCAGTACTTCTCTGACACCACCGTGTCTCATCACCCAGAGGACTCACCCAGCCCAGAGCCCAGCGAGATGTGCGGTCACGGTATGGCCTACACCCATGTGCCACGGGGCGACAGCATCTTTTCCAACCAGTTGTCACAGCCGCCATCAGACGTGAGTGAAGGCACCATCTGGTAATGATCTACAGTGAGGACGATGTGAAAACGTCAAAAACATATTTGTTGTTTATAGTAATTTATTTATTCATCTGTTATTTATTTATTATTTATATGTAAAATGTTTAGTAAAATAAGACATCTGTTTAATACATTTGTCATTAAATAATTTATACTTTTTTTATATATACAAACACATTATGTATTTATCTTTTAAAATGGGCTACTCTTTGTTTCTATTGGTAATGTGCTAAAAAAAAACATTCCGAATGACAGAGCCAATAAACTTTTGAAATTTGATTAGCCACTGTCTTAATTGTTACCCTGGTAACCAATAAAAACTTTCTTAAATGTATTTATACTGTTACTCGTTCTGACCTTTACACAGCAGCATCCTCAGTGATGGCACAACTTTCTTCAAAAATACTTCTTAAAAAATATTTACATATTATTTGTTAAAGAAAACAAAACGATTCAATTCAAATAAGCCAATAAGCCAATTGATATTAATGTTTCTCTTCCTGGATTTCCTTCAGGCAGGTACAGTGAATGGTTCACATTGTGCATTAAAGTCATTCACACATGCAATTTTATAATCAATGCCCACAGTATAATATAATTCCTCCAGCAATGAGCAATTAAACCCCGTCCCCCCTCCCACTGTGATTTTTGCTTTCCCTCTTTGCGCTGATCTTGGAGCGACAAGACACTGGCTTCTCCTCATTTACATATTTATTACATTGGACTCAAACCTGGCGAGTGATTGATGTGAAGCCTGACACCTGATTTTTTAGCAAACTATTATGACTGCATGGAGTGATGAGGGGGGTTGTGGCAGAGTGTAGAGAGTGTGTTAATTATTGATTACCAGGTTCTAATACGTAATCAAGGAAATAAAATATATTATATCTTCAAAAATGTATCTGCTTCCATTATTAGATTTAAATCTGACATTTTTCTGCCTAAATTTGAATTCATTGCTTGGATTTGATAGTAAAAACAAAAGAGGTTTTGAAAAAAAAATCTGACATTTTTCTGCCTAAATTTGAAGGAGGTTTTGAAAAAAATGTCACATGACATATGCATGTATTGCAGCAGGTTAAGGAGCTAAAGCCGACATATTTTTAGACCATTCATTTGGGTTTTTAAAAATTTTCGGGTAAACCAACTAAGGTATGAAAAACAGAAGGTTAAAGCATATTTCAAACGCCTACATCGGTTTTAAACGCGACACCGTGGTATATTGTCAAGCACAGTGGTCTCCATGGTTGGTTGCCTTTGTCCTTCAGTGCCAGGAGACACTGGTCACACTGGTCGCCTATGTGCAGGACCAGTCAGGAGTAGTAAACCAGAATTTCCACAGGGAGCTGGATTTAAACGCTTCACTGCCGTGGCTCTAACGTATGAATTTTAATGCAGCTCGTCGCTCACAACAGAACCACTGCCGGACCATGTTTGTATTCAGCTCTGCTCTTTTACTACTTGCCACAGTACGACTCTAACACTAAGCTCACAGTGCGTTTCGGTACAGAATGCTAGCCTTGGTTTTATGCCGTGAGGGATGCGTGCCAAATCACCACTGATCGAGAAAAAGAAAAAAAACATAAACACGGGTAATAATACAGGGAAATATATTTTTTTGGTTTATATTGAAATCAAATTTGTGTCCTTTTGAAAAAACAAGAAACAAAACAATAAAGAGATACTTACCCAACGTCTTTTCATCAACTTTTTGGACCAACGTGGTTCAGTTGTGAGTCATTAAAAGAAATAACGGTCCGACTAGTGATCCATCACAAATGAACAAAACCCTCAGGGAGATAAAAAAAAGAGTAATAGTGATTTTCAATAATACCAGAAAATGACTCATTTTCTCATTTGGCCTCATATGATGGTGGTGGGTATTAGGTACTTGAAACTCATTTCGTCTGAAATATTTGTTGGAGGGATGGCAACACAGGTGGATCTGAGAAGGTGGTTGACATAAAGGTAAAACTAATACTACTAATAAAAAAAAGGACGAGAGGAATACTTCAGTAATGTTTGTATCTCTTTATCCTTTTTTCAAACTTTGAAAGTAAAGAACTTCAATCAATGGATTTAAAATGACTGATGTGTTAGAATAACCATGAAATATACTGTATATATATATACAAACATATATACTGTATATAAAGACCCATGTATGTATATGTAAAAAAAAAAGAAATATTAAGCTTCAATGACTGGAAAAAAACCCAGTACATATCATAAATCAACAAAAAGTAAAAAAAAGAAAGAAAAACTTGATTAGTTACCTTTTTAAAACATCTACAGATATGAGCACTTTTGTTCAGTGTATGCTTTATTTAATTTCCACACTAATTCGTTGTTAATTCGTTATTTCCCAGAACTTGTGGGAAAAAAAATAACAATACAGCTTGGACCACGAGGTCGTTTCACATTTCGTCAACATTGTGTTTCTGTGAAACTAATGACAGCAGTTAGACAGCACGAAGCTTTCACCGCCTCTTAACGTCTGACCGAAGAAAAAAAAAAAAATCACATGATTCCTCTGTAACTGTTGGCTTTCACGCAGTAAACAGACAGACCAGACACCATTCCCTCTTTGGCAGTAGTAACTAAGATTGTTTCCATTTTTTCCCCCTGCTTTCGGTTGAGAACCTCAAGTGGGCCCCTGCAACTTTGTCTTTAAGACAACAACATGTTTTAATTAGTCACATCTGACGTAAACAAAGGTAAAATAAACGAATAAAACAAAGACATTATTTGTTGATTTCAGTTAAACCCGTCTATCGTCTAACGTAACAGAGCTTTGAGGTAACTCGGAAAAAAAAAGGAAGTAAAACTAACCTGTGTACAAAAATATTAAATAATTACAACATGAACGAGACTGCGTATTACAATTATCAATTCCATTTTTTTTTTTTTTTATATATCAACGTATGAACCTCCGCTGGAACAGTTTAACTCTACAGGTTTGACTATGGAAACATTTGTCAGTAAAGTGCATGTAAAGCAGCCTGTGTCAGTGTTGAGTTTAGTGTGTGAGCGAGAACAGACGGGGCAGCTGTATTTTTTTTGTTTTTTTTTGTCGGCCAGGCGGAACACACACACACACATTACCCTCTGCTGGGCGAGTGTGAAAGGGACCCTGTCCCTGCTCCCAGCTGGGTGCTGCCACAGTGTTCCCCGCCTTTGTCCGATGACTGTGTGCTGCTCCCCGGAGGCAGCAGTTTTAAAAAGCCACGTCATGTTGCTGCCGTACTAACGTATTATCGCCATCAAAATCACGGAGGACTATTTAAGGAGAATTTAAAAAAAGCTAGTTTTTAAATTATTTAAGCATTTTCAAAAACCAGAAACTAACTCTGTTAGTCATATGGACCGACTTAGTGAGATCATGGCCAACAGTTCATCAGTGACCTGGCAGATACCAGGGACCGTCATGTTGGCTCCTCCTGCCTCAGTTTGTGTCGCAGGCCTCAGATTCCATCCTAACAGATAGATCTGTTCAACTAAAGGTGCACAGTATAAGGGGGCACAAGCTCATCTGTCTAGGGTTGTGGGAGAACATGTTCAGTGTGGGCGAATGTGAACACATTATGATCCAATATGGCCGCCTCATCGGCGTAAACCATATTAGAAAAATAATTTAGGAGACGTTCTGGGCTAGAGAAAATAGATGTTCATAGACAACCTTTGATTGTAATACTCACATATGCCTTACACAGCGCCACTTCAAAATACTTGGTTACGGCTGTTGGCCGTGGTAAACTTTTCCAAATTATATAATTTATTTATATTATCATTATACTATATCATTATATTCTCACTTTTTCCTGCAATACCCACATTTCCCCAATAGATGGCGCCAAAAATAAAAATGCTACTTTTAGCATTTTAGCCTTTATGCATGTCCTGTAGATGTCATGTATCCTGGTTCTTAGAACGCTCCAGTCAATTTTAGGACAATTGTGGCCCGCGAGTCTAAAGTTTGCCCACGCCTGGTTTAGAACAACTACCAGAAATGTTAGTCTGGCAGGTTTAAGACACGCGTGTCCTGATCGAACAACTACCAGAAATGTTAGTCTGGCTGGTTTAAGACACGCGTGTCCTGATCCTGTCGGCCACAATGCAAATATCATCAGCAATCGCCATCGAAGCTTCATCATGTACCATGTTCGAGTTATCGTGACCTCATCATACGCCTGAATACAACATCCATTTTGTACCGTTGTTAATCAGCTCCCTGTCAACATATGCTAAATTTAAAATTTGTCATGGGTGTAGATGCTGAAGCTAAGCTTTTTTAAAAAAAAATCTAAATCACTGTTCTCAAATGAAAACGTAGAATTATGGATAAAGCCTCCATCACGGCCTAAGTTCTGCGGCCTTAACTCTGGCTCAGACAGCAAGGAAGGAAGAGAGAGAGAAGGGAGATGGCTGGCTTCTGATTAGGAGTTTGCTGATGTCTCCATAGTAGTCAGGATACGAACCACCTCTGTTCTCTGTGTGGGTGAGATGTGCTGGGTCATGTGCACGATTGAATCCATGGCAACCTCTGGGTTGGCTTGAACCAGGCTGAAAACGGAGGCAGAAATTAAAGAAGACACAACAACGGCGTGAAGCAGATTTGTTTCCCCGTCGATGTTTCCGCTCCAGCATCTCTCAGAATACTCACCTGCGGATCTGTTTGAGGATGTGATCGCGCCTGATGTACTTGATGTTCTCGTCGATCACAGACCTGGCGCCCTCCTCTTCGGCTAGATGTCTCTCCAGCCAGCCCACCACCTCTTCGTTGTTATCCCAGAGGTACGCCTGAAGACGCAGGGGAAGAGAAAAAAAAGGATCAGAAACGAGGAGAAGCACTGAGCAGAACCAGAGTGGGGTGTTGAATATGTTGTTGACTAGACCTGACAGGAAAATTTGTGGTGGTTCTCAAACTGTGGTACACGTACCACTGGTGGTGCTCTCTAGTGGTAGGTGGGGAAAATTCATATTTTCACATTTACATTTTCAACTGAATAAATCTGAAACATACCATGGACAATTAATACAACATTTAAACATCAACATCTTTATAAACATGTCTAAACATCTCTCCTGTGTGGTGGAAGCTAACAGGTACGGCCTACGCTGCTATATTCTAATGTTGGTCTTCATGGTGGTACTCAGAGAGCTCCATGTTTTCTCAGGTGCTACAGAGTAGAAAACGTTTGAGAATTATATTATTGTATTATAAAATATTCATATTTAATAATATCAAATTTTACAAAACATCATGGATTCATGAAGCAGGCCAGATTAAACCCTGTAGCGGGCCATTTTTAGCCCACAAGCCTTATTTTTGACAGCCTTGCTCTAAGCCTTAGAATCAAGTCAAGCCAATTTTTATCTGCATAGCGAAAAATTCACAAAACACATTTGTCTCAACCTTAGCTTTAAATTAGAATGAAAATTATTCTCCTAAAAACCCATATAATGGCAAAAAACAAAAACAAAAACAGAGTAACGTATATGCAGTCAGAGTGAAGAGATAAACCTTGTATTGCAGTGGGTTTTGCAAAGAAAGCTCAGCTTCCTCTAAAATGACTAAAAAGAATAAATCATTAAATATTCTATGAGTTGACGGTGTGAACATCGCAGTCCATAGAACCACAAAAATGATCTCGTTTTGAACACCGCCACTTCAGCTACTTCAACATGTTAGTGTATGAGATGATCTTCATATGCATCCCCTGCTCTTCTCTCGTATAATTGCAGTGGGGGTTTTTTTTGTTTGTTTTTTTTACCTTAACAGCTCCCTCGGCCTCCACGAACCAGCGGCGTAACATGGCCTGGATCTGACCGTCCGTCAGTTCGCCGTTAGCAGCTTGAATCTTCCTCTTCACCGTGTCCTCCAGCAGCAGACGCCGCAGACGCCAGTAGAAGAACCGGCGGGATGTTCGCCATTCAAGGATGTCCTGAGGGAGGCAGAGGAAGAGCGACTGCTGTCACTGTGCTCTCTCGTTTTTCAGGGTGCATGGCTGCATGTGTTGTTAACGAAGTAAACGCTTATTTATCAACTTGAATATAGGAGAAACAAGACGACGAATAAATCTGACCATTCCTTGAAGTAAACAGGTTCCCGTTTTAAAGTAGCATACAGAATTAATTCTACGGTACTGTATGTTAACACAAGTGTGAGATCTGCACCTGGCTCATTCTGGTTCGACTATTCATTCAAATTTCAGTATTTTTACACCCTAGAAACAGGAAAATAATGATTATTTTTATTCCTTAGGTGGCAAATATACATTGGTAAATACAACAACAATATACTACCATATATAAGTAGATTCTCCCCATGTAGTATTGCCTGACAGCAGGTCAGTAAAATCTGATCTTTAGGTTTTAGTCCTTAAAAATGACCTGGTGATTTACTTTTTTAAAGCAAAGCAGTACAATTTAAATGTATTAAAAAAGTAAACATAAATTGATATCTGTATGACTTTTATTATTACTGCGTGTATTATGCTCAGAACTACGACTCGCTGTAGCTTATATTTAATACCAGTATTGTTCGTACTGTAGTACATGCTGTGACACTATGGTGCATCGTATTCACTGAAGTCAGCGATGAACAGGATGACATCACACACGTCAAACGATCACAACCAATGTTACTCTATTACCTGCTAAGGTCCTTGTTTTTCCTTAGCAACATAACAGCAGGCAATTTTTCCCTTTTACTACGAACAACAATAATATGCAAACTCCTACAATAACGTTAGAGCAATACAATATTCAAAATATGATACGTGAATATCACGTCATCAATTCTTTCACAATCCCTCTGGTCAGGGCAGTGTCTGTGGGTGTGTTAAAGATGGGACTGGGGGTCAGAGAATGGAACAGCGCCAGCCTGAGGCTGAGGGATGTATGAGGATGAGTCTCAGCAGCTCAGTCACACCAGAGATTAGTCACCAGGTGCATTAGTTCCAGCTAAACTGAGTTCTTCCTGGAGGCTCTTTACTTATTCACGTATCACACATTAAAATCTGCAGCAGGACGGTGTAAAATTTTTAAACCTAAATCAATCTAAAATAAATGAACATCTTGACAGCTGGTGCTATAAAAATGTTATATATTATATTTTTGTCACATGCTACGTTTAATGTGATTTCATGATTACAATAAATAGAATTCTCTTGTCAACATTTTCTGTATTAACATAAAATGATGTTGAGGTAGTAATCTGCAGGTTTAAGAATTCCGATCCCAAACCTGATCGTATAAAAAGAAAGGCAGCAAAAGTACTCACCGAGATTACCCCCTTCTCCTGCATGCGCCCTGGGGTGTCATGGAGGTCTGCAAACTGCACAGCCACCTGGTGGTAGATGGACAGCAGAAACTCTTCCCGTTCCTTCAACTTGGTCTCCAGCTCTTTGCGGTCAGGTGGGCTCAGCTCTGGGGTTCCTGAGGTTGAAGTTTCACCACAATGTTTTAAATCAGATGATACAATCAAAACCAAAAATACGACAAACACAAACGCAAAAATGATGTATCGCTTACCCAGTCTTTCAGCCAGGCCCATGTAGACCGGATCCACTCTTCTCATGGTCTTCACCAGGTCTTTCCTTCGGAACTTTATCTCCACTGTTCCTTCAGGCTCTAACACTCCACCACTGAAGAAAAAGATTGTCGTCATTGCACGAAAGTATATTTGATAGAGAATATTTCAAGTAGGTATGGCTCCATACAACTGTTTCACGTCGGATACTGATACTGCAACTTGGAGTGTCTGCTGATGGTAATTCCTGATAGTTATTGCTGTTGCTCAGGCGATAGCGGCCTTGTTTACAGCAAGTTGCGCACGTACGGCCAATGCTTTTACATCTCAACTGTGAGAATAAATTAAGACTGACTCTACATGATGTAGAGTCAGTGTAGATGTGCACTGGCTCAACTCACCGGCTTTCTTTGTCAGCGTACATCTCCATGTGTCGAGGGTTGATGGTAGGATCGATAACCACCCAAGAGCCTCCCCTTAGTTCAGCCTGAGGTGGAATGTAAACCAGCACTGGCTGTTTGTATTCTCTCAGCCCGTCTACGATATAGGCCCCAAACTTCAACACCTGGTCATACATATCTAAAGATGGATGGATAGACAGATAGACGGATGGACGGATAGATGGATAGATAGACAGAACTTATTAGAAAACACATTTAAACATGATGATACTGATATAATATAATACTATGCACATGTTGTCAATTGTGTTTTGGGGGAATATTGGGTCTGATCTCGGTTTTTTACTTACTATTAACCCAATGATTCCCAAGCGCTGTGTCTCAGCACATTGTTGTGTTGTAAGAGATTATCAAGTGTGTCATGGAAAATTATCCAGTTGAACTTAATTGTTCTGAAAACTATTTGTTTTATACTACTCATCTTTTGATGTCTTTCTTCAATTTCTGCAAGTAGATCAGGGTTATGTTCAACTAAACAGGCCCAGATTTTTTTTTTCACTTAGAGCAGGGATGTCAAACTCATTTTCACCGGGGGCCATATTAGCAATACAGTTCCATTTGAAGGGCCGGTTGTAAACGGAAGACTGTATAGATCAGGGGTCACGAAATGGCTTGGTGGGCCACATTTGGCCCCCGGGCCTTGAGTTTGACACGTATGACTTAGTGAGTATACATTTTAGGGAATCACTTGTTGGATGTTTGTATTAGTGTCTCCATGGGATTGTATCATGGGGAAGAAATACCTTTCATGCCTCCAGAAAACCCTCTCCAGTTGGCGAACACTATGAGAGGTAGGCCTTCTCGGTTCAGGTCCTTAATGGCTTGTGCAGTTTTGAAGGCAGAATCTGGGAACCACACTTGTCCTGCCTGTTGGATGATCTAAACACAGAAACCAGATCATTAGACTCATTGCTCTTAGTTATCCAAAGACTTTTTTAAATGACAGCTCCAGGGTAGCTCTTACTTTGGCCTCCGAGTCCAGATTGGCAGGATCAGCTGGTATTGAGAGCTCAACTGACCTGGTTTCCACTGCAACAACTCCTGTGGGTATCCCGCCCAGTCTGTGGGATAAGAGAGGGTTTTCAAAAATATTGGTTAAAAAAAACAAAAAACAAAACATGTCTACTTTTCTCGGCATAAATCACGATTCTGGAACACTTGCCTGGCTCTGCCTACCACCACACTCTGGGCCCACGGCTTCATAATCTCCATGAAAGATCCTTGATCAAAGAAACCACTCTGCCAGTAACCCTTAGGAGCTTCATTAAAAAAAAAATGGAAGGAACGACAAGGGGTCAGTAAGGGAGTCAGTAACTGAAAACACAAAGGGTAACAAACAACCTGATTTTTTTCCCACATTTATCAAAAGATGTTTAACCGTAATCACATCTGTGACCTTTGAACTCCCCTGAGCTGTGTTGCTCATGGTGAGTTGCTCAAGCTATACACTGATTCCTATACGACTCACCAATAGGGATCTGTATAGGGATCAGATGTCGAACCTAGTCTTAATCTTATTGTTACCAAAATAATAAATACCACAGCCTAGAACTAAACAAACACTGTTGTGTTTTACCATTTCTGGAAGAAAAACTGGCATGTAACCAGAGTGTGTGTGTTTTCTTTTTTCTGAATCTGTGTTTTTGGCAATCAACCATGATGGATGACTGACAGGCTGGTATGTTACCATTCATTTAAACCTCACCTGGGGACCAATATTTTAAAAGTCACAAACCTTCGCGACACGAGTCAGTAGACATTATTCATAAACTCCTGGGAAACATGATGCTAAACGACCCCAAAAAAAATCTCTTGCGACCCACCTGAGGGTTGTGACCCAATCTTTGGGAAACAACGTTGTATATGACATTATTTAGATCAGCAGTACCAAAATAACATTAGGGTGAAATTATATAGTGGTATTAAAAAAAAAGTCTGAAATGTAAATCTGGGCTTGTAGTCCAAAAAAACAAACAAACTAATAATTAATGCAAATATGTAAAAAAAAAGAAAAGTGAGGGGATATGTAAATGAATTAATGATCCACCAAGACAGCATCACTCACTCTGGCTGGGCCGCCCCGCCAGCATCCAGCGGGGGTCATATGGGGCCTTGGTGGGAATGAAGTCTATGAGCCGATCAATGGGATCCTTGGCCATAAGGATAGGCACTGGGCTTGATGTACACTGGAAAAAAAAATATACAATGCATACAGATTTCTGTTAGCATGATACGATTTTAAATGTTTGTTTAAATGTCATATTCAAAATAGAAAAAAATGGTTAAGCACATTTACTACATTACTGCTCCGACATCATTCAAGATGCCAGTGTGAGCACAAACGAGAAAAGTGACAAGATTTAATGCAAATTCAAATGACTAAGTCTTGTGTTTAATATACCGTAACACTACAAAGACCTAAGTCTTTATGACTTCAGCAAGCATCTTAATTTAAAACAGGTTACCTTAGGCATGTAGGACAGCCACTGCAGGAGGGTGAACACTCCCTCAAAGTCATCACAGACAGTGCAGTGAGTCACACCGTTGTTGTGCATGATCTGTATTCCACCCAGCTGATTGTTTGACGTGTATACTTCTCTCCCCAGCACCTGCAGGTATAAAAGAAATGTGATGGTTATAAGGAACGATTAGTGGCCTAGGAGTTAAAGGAACCCATTACTAAAATATAACTGCACAAGATTCTCCATGGTTTTCATTGTATGGTTAACGTCGGGTGCTTTTCCCTAGTCTCCTGAACTTAAACTCGTAAAGTTTGGATTTTATTCGCATAAAGACAGTATATGAGTATATATACTGTCTTTAGTATATATACTAAAGACAGTATATATACTCATATAATGTCTTTGCGAATAAAATCCAAACTTTACGAGTTTAAGTTCAGGAGACTAGGGAAAAGCACCCGACGTTAACCATACAATGAAAACCATGGAGAATCTTGTGCAGTTATATTTTAGTAATGGGTTCCTTTAACTCCTAGGCCACTAATCGTTCCTTATAAACAGTAACATTTTATGTTTGTTGACAGAACAGGTGGACCTCGCATGGCTCCGTAAAAACAAGAGGGCGGCTCAAGCCCCGCCTACACCTTTCACCTTTTCAGCCATTATTTACACGCTTTACTGTCGGGGATGGCTGAAAATCTAGGGCACAATCTTAGAGCCTGCAGGCCTAAGAAACACTGCTGCTGCCCAGACTTTCAAAAAACCTCAGTTTCTGTAGGCCATCATCTGCTTCATTAGGATTTAACAGTAGGGAGGAGTGATCAGGACAAAAGAAGAGGAGGGACAGAGATGTCTGCCGGCAAGAAAATGTGTCGCCAGCCGGATCTGACGGCTCACTGGGGTATTTGTGCTAGTAGTTACTAACCAGTTGCCATGAAAATATGAAAGCATTCCAGCTTATAATTTAATGATGATCTGTGGGTGGCAGCCTCTAGCTCGCTATTAATTTTCATTTAACAGCTAAGGAACCAAATGCAGGATGAGCCGAATGTGATTTGCCGAATACTTGTCTTGAAAATGTATTTCATTTTGACATAAACACAGGAGAGATTAGTGGAACCCGTCACCTGAAAACTTGGAAGTAATCAGATAGTTTTATAATTTTGGACAGAAACACACACTCAAGATTCAAAGTTAACAATTTAAAGCCTTTTTATTTACTTAGAGTTTAGTAGAGTGAACCTGGACTATCCTTTAAGTTTCAATTTATTTATACGCACACAAGTGTGAACTGAGTATTGATTACGCTGATAAAGTATCAATTCTAATTAATAAATACATTTAAAAATTCAAAACAAATCGCATATGTCACATGCGCATCTTTCAGGCTAAGTTACTACATACAGGCTTTTGTGCTTTTACCTGCCACGTTTCAACCTTTTGGATGGATGAATTGATGTTTTTTATTTACTTAAATACATTTAAAATTGGTGGACGGGGGAGCTAGAATATTTGACTAGAATATTTTTTTTATTTCCTCATTAGCACCTGAGGGAGATTTTAAACTAAACTCTGTCTTTTTTTTTTACTTTACCTTGTTCAGTGCTCCAGCTCCAGTAAGAATAATGTGAGAGTTATCCACCTGGATCGTTCTTTGTCCCAGCCTCACCAAATATGCCCCGATTCCTATGGCTCTACACGTGACCTATGGGAAAATAATGTAGGTCAGAGAACAAACAGGTCTTTGTCATGAGATGAGACGCAGGAGCAGATGAGTTGCCCCTGTGTCTGATTACGTTTTTTTCTACACACATCAGTCCTACCAGGTTCATGGTGATGATTTCGTCATAAGCCAGAGAAGATTCTCCTGCTATCATTCCAGAACCTTTGAGATTCTCCACACCGAGTCCTTCATCCTTTCCAATAATGTCAGTGATCTTGTACCTGTATAATGACACTTGAACTGAGCTCACTCTGAGCGACACGACACAACTAGGGCTCAATCGATTGGTCAAAATTTCAAGAATGAACATTGAATAAAACCCATGTAATCTGATAACCAGAATATTGGGATAGTATAGGTCAGAGGTGTCAAACTCATTTTCACTGTTCCACTTAGAGGGGCCTAAACGGGAGACTGTATAGATCAGTGGTCCCCAACCCCCGGTTCGTGGACCAGTACCAGTCCATAGGTCATTTGGTACCAGGCCGCAGTAGGACAGAGTGAAAAAATGTACTTAATTTTTATTCATTTACTTCATTCAAAAAAAATCAGTCATAAGCATTTACTTTTTTTATTTAAAAATAATCTGGAGATATTTTAAAAATAATATATCATTCAGACTCTGACACAAACAAAATAGAGCCTAAAAGATGTTTTATTTTGAAAATTAAATTATCCTTCAATGCTCAGCACCTTGCTACCGGTCGTAGTAACGGGTTACTTATTGCTGTGTAATAAAAAAAAACTTTGCTGCATGGACTTTACTAAATGCTTTTTAAGCTCCCGCGGGCCACACAAAATGGGTTTGCGGGCCTCATTTGGCCCCCGGGCCTTGAGTTTGACACGTGGTATACTGTAGGTAGTATAGGTATCAGAATATTTTCCGAGTCGCAGTATCGGTATCGGATATGAAAAGTTGTACTGAGCCATCCCTAATACCAACAGCTATGTTTCTATGACTGGATAAAATCCCAATCTATTTTCTTATATACTACGTTCAACCGTAATATCACAGAACATACCTGGACTCTCCCTCGTCCTCCACGTGTTCACAATGCACAGAGTTCAGGGCTGAAACCTTTTTGTAATCCTGAGGTGTGAGGTAGAGGTACTTGAAACCCTGGAGTAAGAACAGCACATACAGTACATACAGAGAGCACCGTTATTAACCAGGGCAAACAAGTATGGAAATGTTCAGAGAAATGACCTTCAGATTTACACCTACGGACCTTATTTGGGTCAGAAGGATCATGCCAGGCCACATGGAACATGTGTCTTATTTCCTCTGCCAGTCCGATGCGAGCGCCACTGTTGGCTGCGATGTAGATCCGGGGGATGCCGCTCTCACGGGCCATTTCCGAAGCTCGCAGGAACAGCAAGTCCTCCTGGGGCCCGAACGATCCGATCTTGTGCGTGATATCATTACTTATGACGACGATCTCACGTCCGGCCGGACACTCGGGAGTCCGCAAGGTCATCCGCCAAGCCACCATTCCGATCTTAAAAGACAGAAGAGAGGCACTTTTATCATCAAAAATAAAGGACAAATATTAAGTGAAAACAAAGGGTGCAATTTTGAAGGGCGCATTAGAAGATAATAGCAATACATCTACTGACCTCGTTGCCTCCCGGCAGTCGGTTCATCTGCACCAGCTGACCTTGGGCATCAAGGACCAACTCTGTAAAGGTGAGCAGCTCAGAGGGTAGAGGACACTTGGGTAACTCAGCGTAGGCCTGACAACTGTGCCACAACTTTTTCAGAGCCTGGAACAAACAAACAAAACACCCACAGTGAGATTATAATGTGATTTATATTTTTATATTGATATAAATTAGTTGTTTTTTTCCCCCTTACCTGTCTGAACATTTCAGGAAAGTCATAGACGTAGGTGGTGCCTAGAGACTGTGCCTGGAAACGTTTGGACTGCAGCAGGTCCTTGGTGACGTAGGGTGTGTTTATGAGCATGCCATGAAGTGGACCCTGTTTGTCCCCATATGCCTGGAACATGATCTGAAGGAGGAGGAGGTCGAGTTACATTACGGATGTAAAGCAGAACAGATGTAAAAAAAAAGAAAAAAAGAAATGCTACTGTAATCTATTTTTCAAGAAATCCAACGGACAATTTCGAGTCCAACACTGACTTACATTTAGTGACACAATAGTAAATAACAAAGTACTTTGAACTCATTATAATATTTATATACTTCCCACCCATGTCGATGAGCTCTAGTGAGTGATGTGCAAATGAATACAAGATGGATGGATGAAAAGAGGAAACGTAACTTACCTCAGCTGTTAGGGAAACATGTCACTAGATTAATAGCCAATCAGGCTTACAGGGGAAATCTCTGTGTATTTTTAAAGTGTTTTAATTGACATTTTTATAAGTAAAAATGTAAAGGAAAAAGGGGGGGCAGAGGGCAAAACCAACCCCGCCAAACTGCCCAATCCGACCAGTCACTCGAAGACAAAAACTGGCCCTCCAACAAATTAGTGACCCCTGCTTCAGATTTTTCAGAGTGTGAAGAACACACTAGCATTAAGCTCAACACTATAATTGCTGACTAAGCATCGGCAGCATATGCAGTCGCATTAAAAATAACTGAAAAAAAAAACTTCAATGTGAGAAATTGACCGTTTCCAGGATGGAGCTGAAGTGCTTTTCCTGGAATTGGACAACATGAAGATGAGATGGAAGATTATTGAGCGCCCCACCTGTCGGTCTTTGGGCCCCACCTGTCCGGTTCGGGAATCAGTGACCTCCTTGTAAAGGCTGATGTCGAGGTAGTAGCCAGACTCGTTGGTCAGAAACAGGCGGATGGGGATTTGCTTTCCTGTCGGAGTCAGTCGGATGTTGATTTTCAGCTCGGCCTGCAGAACCCGCAGCTTCCACAGTCGGCTTCCGTAGCGCATGACCATGGAGCGAACGGACTCTTCGATCTGAAGTTTGAAGGGAGGAGGTGTGTTAAAACTCTGCTCTGTGGTTTGACAGTGTGTACGGTAAATGTTTTTAGTGATGGTTTTGGCGATAACCTTTGACGGGTCCATGATGACTGTAGGAACGAAGTTCAGGAAGATGTGGTTACAGTCGGTCCTGACGGTCGTGTTGTTAAAAGCCACCTCCAGCTCATCCATAGCTTCCAGCAGCAACCGCTCGGCTTCATTGTGGAGGTACTCAAACGAAGCCTCCTGGTGAATGTACAGACGGAAATAACCGTCAACAAAGTAAAAAAAAAAATAGACATACATATAACATATACCTATATACATTATGTACATTTACATGTATTATTTTTTTACACAAATGAAATAAAATATAAATACTAAAAAGCATTTACAGAAACAAATAAATAATTAAAATTTTCAATTTAATTAATCACAGGCTAGCTGTGGATTAATAATAATTACTCATGATTAATTTAGATCAATCAGCATTCCTAAATATGACAGAAATGTTTTTCTGTATATTGCTGGAACGGAAAGAAAACAAATAACCGCAGGTAAATGTATGCATTTCACACCTGTTTTTATTTGTGACTAATCCAAATGATGGAATTATTAAAAATGTATTATGTAAAAATGTCAAGAATAATTTAAAATTTTAATTTGGGTTCATGGATGCAAACAAATCCAAATGATGGAATTAATAATATGTAAAAATGTCAAGAAAATTTTTAAAATTTAATTTGGGTTCATGGATGCAAACTGGGTAATTTTTTTTTTTTTTTGAATAATGAAGTAAATCAAAATTTTGTCGACATAAAGGTTGTTTTGTGAGATGCACAAAACTCATCACCTCTAGCAGCTCTAACCAAGAATTTTACAGGTGCCATTTCTGCTCAATCAAAAAGAAAGAAAGATACTTAAAAAAAATACAGGGCAATACTGATATCATTAGATTTAAAAAAAAAATCTGCTGTAAAGGTGATGGAATGACAATACGTTATTGCCTGCAGTCCATCTAGGCTCGAACCTTCTATACTGTTCACATATCTATATACAATACACACTTAACTACATTAAAAAATGTGGAAACAATGACACAGCAACAGCTCAGTGTCATTCATAATGGCACTACCAGAATTTATTGCAAAATTCTCTTTGATTTGACACATTAAATTTTGTTGACTGTCAAACACAATAATCCTTTGTTTATTTTTTTTGTGTCGTCTTGACTTGAGTTGCTGTTAACCATTCATGTATACTCACTTTGTCTCTCGCCCGGAATGTGAAGAATTTAGGGAATTCTCTCTGTGTGAAAATAGAGAAAACAAAATAAGTCTTAGGGAACAGAATTTATCGCTAGAATAATAGCAGAAACATCAGACAAAAAATAAATTTGACTAAATTAAATTAAAAGATTTGGCTATGTGATAGGAAGCATTTCAGCTTAAATTATTTGGCTTCGAAAATAGAGGGTTACACAGTTCATCTAAGAAGAGATGAGGGTAGTTTAGGCAATTGAATTCTAATTTGGGGGCATTTCTTTTTTTTTTATTTGTCAAAAATAATAACAGAGTTATTTTCCATTTTGTGAAAATGCTCATCGTGGCAGTCTATGCTAACAGAAAAAAAACACACCATGCTTTCTATGGGCTATTGAAGTGTTTTCAGAGTCTGTCTCCATACGTATAAACGCTGAGGATTACTACTACTCACGTGAAACCTTTGGTCCATCTCACAGTTGATTTGTTTCCTGAAATCCTGTCATCATAAATGTAGCAATTGCAAGGCATGCAGAAAGAGATACAGAGACAAAGAGGACAACAAGCTAAGTTCCTGATGCAAATCGTCTCAATTACCACAGCAATGTCAATTCACAATCAATACATAGAGTTTTAGTCAGCGTACAAAAAAAGCGGAGAAGCAGAATACTTGGTTCGTATCAATAATACATGCATTCCGGAATAACTCAACAGAACAGCATGCACGAGAGCGTCTAATTAAAAGTAGAAAAAAAAAAAAAAGTCTTACCTTTTGAGCCACGAGGAACGTCAGCCTTCGTATTCCATGTTCAAACAGCAGGGATTTCTGGTATTGACAATAAAAACATTATAAATAACAGGATTAAACGCCTCTGTTGGGGCATTTGTCTGTCATGGCTCCCGACCTTTGACAGTGTGAACTCTCGGAACATGGCTGCCAGGCTATCGTCATCGATGTCCCCGTCTGTCTTGATGGCTACGTTCAAGATGTGGATCGGTTCGTCCTGGACACTCTGGATGTACGAGCAGATGTTTTATATTTATATAATATATTAAAAAATATTTTAGTGGTTAGTGACCCATACGTGTTACGAGAAGGTACTGCGGGCGGCCATGACATTTTAGAGTGATTTTTTTAATATTAAATTCCAGATGGTACGTTTCGGTCAGGTATGCCTTCTCATCACCTTGTTATCGTCTTCACCATACAGAACAGGATTGCCGCCCTCTGGGAAAGTTGGACTTGAGGGCGGAGAGTCAGAGAAGCAACTTAACACATCTGTGATGTTCCTGTAAGACGACAATGTGTCAAACGTGTCACTCACGCATCTTTACACATCAACCCAATCAGCACAGGTTTGTTTTTTTTTTAGCATGGACTAACCTGACAAAGTCCTGGAAGGAGCGGAACGCAACCATCGCTCCCATTCGCTGACAAGGCGGAGTAAAAGACGTGTCAAGCAGAACATCGCTCACACTGGCTACGTGTACCATGCCGTAGTGGTTCAGATTGGATGAGAACGACATCCTGTAGGGTTTTATCAAAAGGACAGTCATTATGAGAATCTGCTATGCTATGACATTCACATCAACCTTTAAGACAGGCATGGGCAAACTAAGGCCCGGGGGCCCGTTCGCCTTTTTAATCTGGCCCGTCAAACTTTTCCAAATGATATAATTCACATCAACCTCTAAAACAGGCATGGGCAAACTAAGGCCCGGGGGCCCGGATGTGGCTCGTTCAGCTTTTTAATCCGGCCCGCCAAACTTTTCCAATTTAAATAATTTATTTATATCATTATACTTCTGTCTTCTCCCTGTAATACCCATGTTTCCCCATTAGATGGCGTAGAAAATGAAAAAAGCATTTTAGTAAACCCTCCATCTATCCATCCTGACCTGGCCGCCCTGTTCAATTTTAGGACAATTGTGGCCCACGAGTCAAAAAGTTTGCCCACGTCTGCTCTAAGATTACGGCTGTTACGTCTCAGCTTCTTGGCTAATTGAGACACTGGGATTTATTTAAACTGTTGGAGGCTCTGTGTTATCAAAATGGGACCAGATTAAATCTTAACAACACCACAGAACACAAAGATAAGAGCACATAATATCCAAATTCTTCAGATCACCCTCAAGTTAGTAAAGCTAATCAAAGCACATTTTCGTGTCACAGAAACAGGCTCACAAATCCAAAAGGAAATCCATTTCCAAGATTTTGAAAAAAAAAATCAAAAATAAAAAAAAATTGATTTTGTTGAGTGTTAGTCTTCTGATTGCAGGAAGCCCTCCCAAAAGATACACCCGAGATGTTTTGTGTGTCAAACCTGTCCAGGTTTCCCGATTCTGAGACATTTTTCTTCACAGCGCCATCTTCCTTAGGTTTACTACCTTGTGGTTTAAGAGGCTGGGATTTATTTTCCTGCAATTTAGTTTCCAAGGTTTTTGTACTGTCCAGGATTGGAGCAGACATTTTCCTGGCAGGACAGTCACAAGCTGAAGTTCAGGAGATGTGCACTTACTCACAGCGGGGTGTTCTGTTTACCTGACGGCACATCACTGCGCTTCATATCACCACAACACCAGCACACATACACAACTGACAAGAACCAATCACTCCTTCACAAAGACAGAAAACACACGTTTGACACAGAGGCCGTTTGCTAAAAGCCATGCAGTTGACATTGAAAGACTTGACCTGACTACAGTCTGTTTGCTGAACATCTGTGCCTCGTGGACATTTTTTTTAAGTATCAGACTTTCTTTTTTTTTGGCGAATCAAACAAGAGTCCATTGTTTCAAATATCATTTATCTAATTTTCAAATATAACATTCCTACTTTGGCAGTTACGTGTGTTTTATTATGAATAATGTTGCCAGAAAACCTAGAACAAAAATTGTCAGTATCAACCAAGCTGTGCTCGTAGTAGTCGACACACTATAACCACTGATGGCCACAGCCTTTCCACTACTAGGCTGCCATTTTGAAGTTGCGATATGGAAAATATCCAAAGACCAAATGAGAGCACAGCCATGATTTACTTTAAAAAAATAAATATTCATAAAAATTTTAAAAGAAATATCTGCTTCAGAAAATGTCTTTTCTTTGTGTTTTTGTCAGCCAAGCCTTCAGAGCAAAAGTAAGAGGTGGGAATATTAGTTTTATGTGTATAGTAGCAGCACAATCACTTTTTTTTTTACTGTACAATCTATACTAACAGCATCTGTGAGTAAAAAGGAAAAAACAAACAAACATATTTTTTGTAACAAACAACAGACTCATGTTTCAACCACCTGAATAAATTATGTTTCAATTATTGTTCTGACCGTGGGGTTAAACTACAATCACTAGTACTTAATGCAAATTAAATGGATGTTTACAATAAAAGAATGTGTACAATACCTGTTAAGTGTGGGGATGTTCCCTCTGCAATCAAACAACATTGATTACTATGTGGTTAGTGGCAGGCATCAGGAGAGGAAGACAGTCAAGGTAGAATGTGTGTGTCTTTTGTGTCAGATGGATGGAATGAATGGGTATGGGTCAAAGGTCAAACCAGACAGTGATGTTGAATTCCCATGTTTTTTTTTTTTCGTATAAGGTATTTTTGGGAATGCATGAAGATTTCAAGTAAAAAAGGCCTATATGCTCACGAGGAATGTAGAAGTAATGTTTCTACTTTGTTTCCCCCAAGAATTATCACAGTCATTTAAAATTAACTACATAGAATTTTTGTATTCGTTAATGTTAAAAACACTAAAGTTGAGCATAAATGTCATATCCCTAAGCATTAAAATGTAAAAAAAAAACACTTCAGTCCTGACATTATTCTTGGAGACAAACTACAGAAACCTGATACCTACTTGTCCTGAAGTAAACGCTTAAATTTATAGGATCGTCACAATGCCAACAACAGAGTTAGTTCAAACACATTCAAAGTTAAGTAGTAGCAATTACTGGAGAAAACCACCTATGCAGGAATTCCATCACAGCCAAAGCTGACAGGGGAAGAACAAGAAACACAAATTGATGTGAAACTGAGCTAGTAAGAGAGAGACAAGTGGGGGACAAACAAAACAGTCACAGTCAAAACGAACAACCACGCCAACAGGACGCTGAATTAGTGCAAACACGATGTTGTGGAGCTGCTCTTAAATCAGTACGTTTTCCCAAGTCCCAAGTAAATATGGTACAAAGTGGGATTATTTTAAGGAAATTGCTCAGGCTGGAAGCCTTGTTGCTCATGGTACATCTCTGTGATATGATGGGAAAAGCACATGGGATATGTTAACACAGAGAGCAACAATGACAGACCTGAGAAGCAGGAGGGCGCCATAACACCATGGATAGTAGGGAATGTCAACTACTCTACAGACACACAGGCAATGGGATAATACTGTACCATCGTCACCAAGGAGAAAGCAGGCAGAACAAAGTTAGCCACCAGGTGGTGACAACAGAACATAGCTGCGTATACTAATGCTTCAAAGCAGCAGCAAAAGCAGGTGGTTAAAAAAAAAAAAACTGCTATTGAAGGATGACTTGACCGCAGCCGTTGATCACAGCTGTTTACACAGGATCATGCTCTACAGCGCCATCAGGGTTGGGCAGTGCAGAGCAGGCGAGGCGAGGCGCAACACAAAAGCAATGTAACACATTCACTCTGTTACCTGTTGGGATGTGAGGTCGGCAGCATGAACTGGAACTCCACTATGCACGTGTTGTCCTTCAGCTCTCGGTGCTGGACGCTGTTGAGCTCGTAGGCAATGTACGCTCTGCGCACGTAGACCTGCAGTTACGTGACCACAAACAGAACCACAAATGATAGTTAATAATTGGGTTTTTGGAGGACAGTCAAGATCTTCTAATTGTTGTTATATATGACAGTCAAGATCTTCTAATTGTTGTTATACTGTATATAGACATTGTCATCAGTAGCAGAAATGTGAATGTCCATCAGTCGCCTCATGTTCGCCAACTGGCTTTAGACGTACAGTATGTGCTTACTGTCAGTGTCTTCTCGATGTCCTCAATTTTACCTAATATATATATATTAAATTTATTCCGTTCATTTACATTCACAGTAAGGTAACAAAACACAATACACTCCCATTGTGGTAGTTGCGTTCCAAGACCCACAGTGAAAAGGGAAAATCCGCGAAGTAGAGGCGAGATAGTGTTTATATTATTTGCGTATTTATTTACCCTTTACGAACCTCCCTCACACTGTTATCAACTGTATTGTTCTTTCCCACACAATTATATGCACAGTAGAGTTGTGTAATAGAAATATAAAACAGGGAACATCACTTTTCTAACAGGATGACCACAGGCTGAAGCAAAAAAAAAATTGCCTCTCATTATTTCAACAAAGGGAAGCCATATTCCCAATAATACAATTTTTCTTCTTTTGAATGTCTTTTTCCATTAATGTCATTGCTGACTTCATGTACAGTATATACATATGTTTCTGCATACCTAGAAACACATACATGTCAGGATAATGTTATTTTATATATTGCATAATTCTATATATATTATCAAAACTGTTATTTCACAGCATCACCACATTCACAGACAGGCAAGAATTATATTTTAAATTAGTTTGTACCTTTGGTTTACCAATGAAAATAGTCTTCTCTAAGTCATCACCATGCCTGTAGTAACTATTCAACTCTAAATATTATGTAAAAGCCAACTGCAAACCAATCGGATCTCACCTCCAGTGCGGCCATCCTCACGACCTGATTGCTGTGGTAGAAGAAGTTGGGCAAAACATCGAAGATGGATGTTTCTGACAGGATCAGTTTCTAGAAAGAAAAAAAATCGGATAGTAGCACGTGTTATTAAATATGCTGATGCTATGACATCACGTCACGTTATTTTTCTCCTCTTTTGCCTACCTGCAGGTTCTCAATGCAGAACTGGTGCCCGTACATATCTATAGCAGACAGGAAGATGGACTCCACCTGGTTGTGTCGCAGCTCGTAGGAGGGAAGGTGGGAAGCAATCAATACCTGTGTAAAAAAAAACAGAATGTGAAACATCAGCAAAGTCCATCGAAGATAGTTTAGTTTTTCTCTATTAACGCTGAACGTCAATGCATTAACTGTGAGGAATTACTGACACCTGGTGGTGCAAATCTTACAAACATTGGGAAGTACGACAATTGACTAGTAAATAACTCAAATTACTTTCAGCCATTTCAGTTAGAACTGTCACACAAGTAATTGTTAGTTTAGACATAAAATCCAAAAAATATTTAAAAAATAAAACAGACAGGTTAGTAATCAAACTGAAGTAACAGTTAACTGCAGCAATTGCGTTTAAGCAGTCAACTCCAACAACTTTTTCACCTGTCGAGCACGCAGTGCTACTTTGGCGTTAGTTGTCTTGCTGAGCTGAGTAAGTTCAGTCAAAATGGCCACCAGTTCCTCCGTCAGTGTCTGTTCACGACCACAGAGCTGGTCCTACAAACAAGAGGACAACATCACTCATTAACAGAGCAATTGTTAAGCAGTGCTTTTATTGGGTAAAATGCTGACTCGTTTCATTACTATAACACAGGAATCACCTTATCGGAGGCTAACATTATTATTTTATGGTTATTATGGAAGTCGTGTTTGGATTGGATGGTTGAGCGGACCCGATTCGGCCAGTTGATAATCACTTCATTACCATAGCCAAATTCTATTCTACTATGTGCATTTGGAGTCGTCAATATATCAATACAATTAAGCAAAAAAAAGGTCAGACTTACAATCAGCATCGTGACCACCAAGTTCCGCTTGGTGACTTGCGCATGGGAGAAGATATAGTTGAGTACGTTGGCCATCTCCACTTTATTTTCCTCACGTAGCGCAAACACACATTTGTCGTAATGCCCTGTGAATGGACCCAAAATAACACAAAAACATTGGTAAAAATTCACCTTATCAGGGCTTTACTGTCATAAAGCAACATCACGGAGAGACATTTTTAAGATTCGCTGAACAACTCAATGTTTGACAAACAGGAACATCCTGTATATGAGAAAAAGAATTCACCGTTCTGGAACTGGATCTCAACTTTCAGGTACTGCCTGAGCAGGTCCATCACCACTGCCTTCATGTGACCTCGTATACCACTGCGATATCTGTCACAGACATGAGAAGAGAGGTGTATCAACAAAAGAGACACTGCTGAGTCTATTTTCTATTATTCTAGGCAAAAGGTTGTCAAAAACTCCAAAATGTATCAAATGACATAAAGAAAAACATCTCATAAACAAAACTATGTGTATTTGATTTTGTTGTAATATTTCATAAACATCTCAGTTCCAAATTTTATTTTTTTATTTTCTTATTATGCCTTGCTGTCTCCCAGTAGAAATTAATTTCCTGCGATAATTACTCCTTAGGTCTCACGAGATGCTGTGTAATGAGCGATTTGCTCATAGAAATCCTAATGTTGCGATGCTAAGTGAGGTACTCACTTCTGCACCAGCTGCACGATGCTCTGTGTGTTCATGAAGAACACCTCCCTCTCAGACTTCTTGTTCAGCGTTGCAGCGTGACTGTCCAGGATGTTGGCGATCTGGAAAATAAGAAAATGAACCAGGAGGATATTTTAAGTTTCATTCAAATTCTTATTTGAAACTGTCAAGTCCATTGAAACGAATGTGTTATGTGAATTTGGAATACGCAAATACAATTGACTTGATTTTTTTTTTTTTCTATCTGTAACTCTATATTCCTCACCGAGTATATAAAACAAAGAAATCCAGTTCTCTCTTTCCTCACAAGCTTGAAAAACACATTTTAAATTTCATTTTGGTTAACTGTGATTTAACTACATCCCTTTTTTCCATGGTGTTTGACAAAGTTATACAATTGTGTTCTTTGACAACCTCCATTGGCTATGGAGAAAACATTTTATTTTTTATTTCATTTTATATTGTGGGAATGTGCTAAATAAATATTTCCATAATTCTGTAATAGATTTTTTTTCTCTAAAACATTAATATTAATTTATGTTATAGAGTAGCCATAAATGCAATGGTACGATTTCGATGGATTTTTTTCCCAAGTTTTCACTGGCGATTGAGCATAGCGTCATCTTATTATAAGATAAAAGCACGAACCACTGTGTGACCCCCAGATAAAAAAATTACAATTCTTTATGTTCATGAAAAAAAACCTAAAATAATTTGGAAACACTGGTTGATAAACCAACTGTTTCTAATCATGGTGATGAATTTTACCTGCTGACTTGGGAACTGGCAGAGAACAGAGGTGATGTTACTGGCATACTGGGCCATCTCCTTTTTGATGGACTTCTCCACGGCAGGGGGAATGCGACCCGACACACTGGTCATGATGTCTTGTAGCTCCAACAGAGGTAAAGAGGGGTCGCGCATGGTCTTCATTAGCCTTTCCACCCATTCTTTCAACTAGGAAAATATCATTTAATCGGTCGTTACACAACAGGCCGAAAGACGGGAACGGCGATATTAGCGCGTCTTTAATAATTACCTTAGCGTTGAAGAACGATTCAGGAAGACAGAAGCCATTCATGATGTGGACGAGGTGGTCAAGTGTGTTGTGGAAGACTCTGTGGAGCTTCTCCCCTCTCAAAGCAACTGACTGAAGAGACGGCAGGGCCCCAGTGTGCAGCTCTGCCTACAGGACACGTACAAATGCTTTTAAATATATATATATTTTGAACACAGTTACGCACAGGTCAAAAATGTACACAGAACTTAAAACAGATTTTTTTTTTTTTTTATCATTCATTACTTGCTGCACTCTGCTCGGATCATCTAACTGAAGCTTGGCAATGACACAGCCAGGTTCCAGTGCTGCTCCAGCCCTCTTGACGTAGTGTATGCATCCAGACTCTGCCGTGGTAAGAGTCATTACCATCTTCATCACCTGGAGGTCAAGGAAAGGTCACAGGTTGCATCTCTTCTGTGTACTCCAGTCGATATGTACTGAATATCTGATTCCGTATATAAACCCATGTAGACATATATATATTTCCAAATACAGCGCATTTTACCTCTATTTCAGCATAGCACTGGCCAGCGAATAGGTGCCCGCCGTCTTCCACTGTAAACTGAATGAGTTTTCCAGCTGAGGGAGATCGCAGCAGCGACGGATCATTCTCCTTCTCAAATACACACGTCTTGTTTCCAATAGTGATGCGATACCTTCCAAGAAGAATTATTTTTTACCATATTATTGAATGAAAGTCCATACAAAGTTAGGGAGGTTTGGCATTTTTTGGCTCGTCTAACCTGTCCACCTCCTCCTTCATGTACGTAGTGTAGCTGCTGCCATCGTAGGACAGGAGAAGACCTCCGTCACTGAGCCGATGGACATCGACCTCGGCCAATGAGTCGTTCATGATGACCACGTAAGAGTTTGGAGACTGCCGTGTCACCGTTAGGACATACTTTATGCCCTCGTAGATTAGCTCCACGTCCACGGTATTGAGAAGTGTGTGTGCTGGCAGCACTTGGCCCCTGATCAGACAGAGAAAACAGAGAAAAAATGTTGTATTTATTTTTCCCCCAAAAACAACGAAAGCTATGCCTTTATATGGAGTTCTTTAATATACATATTTTTATTACCTTTCCAAGGAATGCAGGAAATTAGACACACTGTTCCGGAAGTTAACGTCCGCCACATGGAGCGCCCCACTTACGATTCCTAGCATGGTATCAGGACGCTCTGCCTACACACAACAAATATAAAAAGACATTTGTTATTGAAAATGTGGTATTTTCATGAGAATGTCGGGTTTTATTTGTTCAAATTAGATTAAAAAAATTAAAATCTCAGATATCTGCGTCGCCTTGACATAGAGGAGGACATTTCCTACCAGAACAAAATATCTGTCTGCCGCAAAGTTTTTAAGCAATCACAACTGTAATACCGTAGTAAGAATATTGTCCCAGGACATAAAGCGTTTTCTGCACCTACTCCCTCCCACGTACAGTGTTCTCTGGCGTCATCATGGGGATGATTGAAAAATTGCAGTATGTTTTTGTGAGTCAATCTGTGTAGGAGTTCATTGTTTAAAAATGTATATTCACCGCCAGTATATCGATAAAGTACCACAAGACAAAAGATCACGATAGATTGTAGTACTGATATTTTTGCCACAGCCCTGCTCTCTCCTTACCTGCATTTTCTCTGAGATAAGTCTGTCCAGCCAGCCTGTGTCAATGCTGTTGTGTTGGAAGCTTTCTGTCTCTAGCAGTTTTATGAGATACTCCACTGTGGTCCTGAAGTCTCCTCTGATGGACAGCTCCTTTAAAGCCACCACCATATTGCTGCAGAAAATACAGACCGAAGTTGAAACATCTGCACAGTAAAGAAACTGCATTTGGGGAAATATTCAGCAACACCAAAACAGAGAAAACTCACGAGATGGCTTCTTCACGATTCTCTCCCCAAGAGAAGCAGTGTCCAAACTGGGAGTCAGCAAACTCATGCAGTCCTCCAGCAGCCGCCACACTGAAGTATCCCCACACGTTCTTGTTGCTGCGGAAATTTAGCTCTTGCACTGTTCCAGAGCTTGGCTTGAATCCCTACAATCAAATTAGATAAGATCTTATATGTTGGCTGCAGAACAATTGGGGGACATTGTGACAAATCAAACCAATAAGAAACTACATGTGTATTTTAAGCTACGGCTTTTGATTGTTTGTTTGTTTCATAATAAGAAACTACATGTGTATTTTAAGCTATGGCTTTTGATTTGTTTCAAAGTAGCAGGGAAATTTACCTCATCAGGATTTTCGCTTGTGATTCGTGCTGCGATGACGTGACCCCGTGGTGACGGCGCTGTGGACAGACCCTCAAAGTCGATGTGAGTGTCTCCCCAAGGCTGGACACCGTAAAGCATCCTGATGTCTTTGATCCGGTAGAGGGGGATACCCATTGCAATCTGAGCAACAACGGTGTGGTTATACACACGGCATATTACTCTGTGATATCAACGCTGAGGCATATAGTCTTAAAATGTTAAAAACAAATACAGCAGAATAATTTTCTATTGAAAAACTATTACTGAATTTAGAAAAACCTAAAACTGTGACACACTGTACAGCCACCAAGGAGTGTAAAGCAGTAAACGAATTGCAAGCGTTACGTTTACAGTAAGATTTAAAACTTGCCTGCAATTGGGCGGCAGGCAAGTTGACGTCGGCCACCATCTCAGTACAGGGGTGTTCCACCTGCAGACGGGGGTTGAGCTCCAGGAAGTAGAAGCTGCCATCCTGGCTGTACAAGTATTCTACTGTACCTGCGCTGACGTATCCCACCATCTTAGCCAGCTTTACTGCACACTTAAAGAAACAGAGAAGGTATATTCATGAAAAAAACGATTGTCCGTGGTTCCAAATCAATAGCTTGACATTTGCTATGATAGAGAAATACCTTTTCCATATCCTCAAACACATCAGACGTGGCGATAGTAGCTGGAGCTTCCTCTATGATTTTTTGGTGTCGTCGTTGCACGGAGCAATCTCTACCAAAGAGGGAAATGGCGTTGCCGTACTGATCAGCTAAGATCTGGACTTCCAAGTGACGAGCGTGTTTGGCAAGCTGCATGACAAAAATCGGGGATCCCGGGACCTCTGTCTGGACCTGAAAATATATATTAAGATAAATTGATTTTAAATGTAAAATATAGGGAAGCTATATCAAAAAACTAAATGTAAAATATAGGGAAGCTATATCAAAAATATCAAACTAAACGTACAGTCAAACATTATGCATTCAGAATAAAAACTGATTTGTTGAATTTTTTTTTTACCTGTCTGAAAAGGTTAGGGAAATCATCAGCAGTGTTGACTTTACGGATTCCTTTCCCTCCGCCCCCCTCAGAGGCCTTCACCATGATTGGGTAGCCAACCTTCTCAGAAGCCTGGCAATTAAATAAGCACCTTTCTATCATACAGCCATCAGAGATGTGGAAATGCATATTTCTATTTTGCCATGGTGAACAATCAGTGTGATGACACGCTTACGGTTAGGCCATCCTCCACGTCCTTGATACAACCGCGCTCATATACATCAGAAGGGACATTGATGGTCTGCTTTTTTTGATCGTTTTCTGTCCATTCTACTGTCAGGCCTATGAGCAACAGGAGACACAGTCAAAAAGTATTCATCCTTTAATATATATACATATATATACAAATGTACATATATACACATATATATATATACATAACTGCACAAAAGAGGGTGAGGTAGCCGACTGCAACACTAATAATTGAATCATTGATTATGACCTTTTCCTTAATTAACAGCATGAGCAGGCCAATATAATGTGACAAAACCATTGAGAGGACATGAACTCTGAAAAGTACAAGAGAGAGTACTAGGGGTATGCTAAAATATAGATACAACAATATTTCATCTTGGGGTATTTTAGTGATATACTGGCGGCAAATATCAATATTTTGACAATAAACATATCCTTGTTCTAAACAGATTCTCTCACAAAAACCAACTGCAATTTTTTCAATCCTCCACATGAGTGTCCTAGAGAGGGAGTAAGGCAAAGAAAGCTAAAGCTAAACTAGCTATCTGTCAACTCACTTTACGTGCTGGAACCCTATATGTGGCAGGCGGGGGGGGGGGGAGAGGGGGGGGGGGGTTGACAAAGGGACAGGGAAC